CCGCACATAAGCCGGGGTAGCCCGGACAGATTTGGGCAAGCGGTCCGTAGGAAATATGAAGCGGTGACATCTTCCAGGGGCAGTCCAGACCAATTTTCCGCAATTCCGGGATTTTTCGGAAAAGCGGTCCGGGAAATCGCGCGCAAGTACGACGAGCAAGTTTCACGGTTGCGTTTTATAGGGTAAATAAATATATATATATAGTATATATATATATATTTATATTCAACACCATATAATAAAACATTTATTTTAATTTTATACTATATTCAATAATTATTGTATTTGTTGTTTCAAAATTTAATATTACTAATATATATATATATAAAAATCATTAATGAATATTATTAATCAATCAATATAATTATAGCAATTCTTTAAAAAATATGCTATATTATTTAAATTCAAATTACATTCTTTTTTGTACATTTTAAAATATAAACTTTACTCTACAAAAAATCTATCTATACTTTCAAATATACAAATAATAAATAAAATCAAAAAATCTCCACCAACTATAATATTAATACAAGAAAATAAATCATAATATAAAACACATATAATATTTATATAAATATCCAAATTAAAATGTTGATTACCAACATAAATCAATTACAACAATAAATTTCAAAACTTACAAAAAACCATTAATTTCGAGAACCTACAAATCAACAATACAATATTTATATTTTTACATCCAACCATTTAAAACAATTCAATAATACAAATCATCATAAAACATTCCATACAATTCGGTAGACTTACACAATGCTCATATCATGTTCAACGAGCCAAACTTATTTCAATATTCAATATCAATTTTAAACAAGAACAAATCATAATTATATCCATCAAATCAATCCCCGCATAAACCTATTTCAAGCCAAACACCATATAGAGAAATATCTTAAACAATTATATTAAAACATCTCAATCAATATAAATATTATAAAAAATCAAATAACACATCAAATGTCAACCAACCAATAAAAAATCAATCAACCAAAATAACCAAATCTATCAAACCATTAACAACAATAGATAAAAACAAAACCAATACATAAATAAAAACCGACCCCAAAAAACAAACAAAATAAATATCAAATAACAAAACATTTTAACAAATAATAATAAATTAATATTCCATACTTCAACAATTAAAAACAGCAAATATAAAAAATGTATGTCATCCAATATAATCATCACAAATAAAAAAAATTGCTTTTAAAAAGCTAGTATCAATAAAAAGAACCTACATCATAAGCCAATACATATCTACCAAAAAACATTACGAAAATTAACATCACATAAAAAACAAAACCCAACAAAAACAAAAACAAATAGAAACCAAGAAAACAAACCAACAAAATCTAAAAAACACAAAAAACAAAAAAACAAGAAAAAGAGAGACATACAAAAACACAACGAAACAGAGAAAATAAAAAACGACAAAGAGAGACAGAGAGAAATAGGAAGAGAGAAAAACAAAGAGAAATAAAAAAAACTCAGAGATTCAGAGAGAGACAAAACAACACAAAGAGAAACAGAGATAAGAAAAAAAGAAAAAAGAGAGAAACAGAGAGAGAGGGAGAGAGACAAAGAGAGGCAGAAAGAGACAGAAAGAGACAGAGGAGAGACACAGAAGGACACACACAGAGACACAGAATTACACAAAGAGACTGGGACACAGAGACACGGAGACACAGAAAGATGCAACGACACAGAAACACACAGATACACAGAGACAAGAGAGACAGGGAGAGACAGGGAGCGACAGGGAGAGACAGGGAGACACAGAGAGAGGGACAGAGCAACAGAGAGAAACAGAGACAGAGAGACAGAGAGACAGAGAGACAAAGAGAGAGAGAGAGAGAGAAAGAGAGAAAGAGAGAACGAGAGAAAGAACGAAAAAGATATTATTAAAAAGAGAAAAAGAGAAAGATGGACTTCTAAGCGAAGACCTGAATGAAGCACACTTCACAGAGAGAAAGAAAGAAAGAAAGAAGGAAAGAAGGAAAGAGAAGGAAAAAGAAGGAAAAAGAAGGAAAAAGAAGGAAAAAGAAGGAAACAGAAGGAAAGAAAGAAGGAAAGAAGGAAAGAAGGAAAGAAGGAAAGAAGGAAAGAAGGAAAGAAGGAAAGAAGGAAAGAAGGAAAGAAGGAAAGAAGGAAAGAAGAAAAGAAGAAAAGAAGGAAAGAAGGAAAGAGAGGGAGAGAGAGAGAGAAAGAGACAAAGAGACAAAGAGACAAAGAGACAAAGAGAGAAAGAGAGAAAGAGGGACTTCTAAGCGAAGACCTGAAGAACACTTCAGCAACATTTCGGGGACTTCTGGGCTGCCCTAAAGAGGCAGGAGCTTGTGCTGCGGGAAAGACCGGGACGGGCTTAGCCGCTCGCCGCAAGCACGACGATTTGGCCGGAGCACCGCTGCAGCGGCCCTGCGGCGCACGAGAAATGCGACCTCGACAAGCTATGTAGTACAACACCGCATGTACATTGACAAAAGAGGGAGGGAGAGAGGGAAAAAAAGAAAGAGAGACAAAAGACAAAGAAGGACACAAAGAGACGGAGACATAGAGACACAGAAAGACAGAGAGACAGAGAGAAAGAGACACAGAGAAGCAGAGAGACAGAGAAACAAAGATACAGAGAAGACAGAGAAACAGAGAGACAGAGACACAGAGAGACAGAGAGACAGAGAGAAAAAAGAGAAACAGAAGACAGACAAACAGAGAGACAGAGACAGAGCAGAGAGAAAGAGAGAAAGAAGGAAAGAAAGAAGGAAAGAAAGAAGGAAAGAAGGAAAGACAAGGAAAAAGAAGGAAAAATAAGGAAAAAGAAGGAAACAGAAGGAAAAAGAAGGAAAAAGAAGGAAAAAGAAGGAAAAAGAAAGAAAGAAAGAAAGAAAGAAAGAAAGAACGGAGGGAAAAAGGGAAAGAAGGAAAGCACCATTTTCGACAAATTTCGCTTTGGATATGCTCTCAAATTTCCCGAAAATTTGACCCGGCAAATTTGCGGGAAAGCCGTCAAATCCGGAAGACATTTTTGGGGATAACGTCTGGAAATCGGAGAGTTGGGTCGGTGGAAACGACCAAAATTCGAGAAAATTTGGCCAGGTTGTGCCGAAAGAATTCTAAGCGAAGATCAGAACACCCCTAAATTTCGACAAAAGTCCGCACTGAGGCAGGAGCTTGTGCCGCGGGGAAAAGACCGGGACGGGCTTCGGCGGTGCCCGAGAAATGCGACCCCGAGGCCGCACCGGTTTATAGGAGAATATATTAATCCGTGTTCATTCGGCAGCAACCGCTGCCAGCCAAACCAAATCATACTAACCACACCAAACCTCACGGACTCATTCGGCAACGCGCGCACACTAAACTATAAGCATTAAGTTTATAATGTCGGATTACACAAAACCTATATTGCTCAAGAGACGGACGGGCCAACTAGGCCAAACACCTTACCGCACATCAAGCCCAGACTGAAGTGCTGATCAGTTTGTTGCGCATCGGGATGGAAAGGAAAGGCACATGTCCGAAACTGGACAAGATACAATGTTTTTGTCTTGGGAAACGACACCCAGACACATTGCAAAGGCAAGATGGTTGTGCGCTCATACTTTGCAAACATGCGGAGCGACAAAGAACAAGTGCTTGACAGCAAGCGGGGATGCGGACGTGGAAATGCCGCCAGCTCTGAGAAGAGCGGCTCGTGAAGAGACACTAAACAATGAAGTTCGAGTGACATCGACATCGTAGAAGGTTGTGTTTCCAAGAGTTGCAACTTGGAAGTACCAGAGCCTGTCCAGACTGGACATTGGCAGCTGCCATTGCAGAACTGTGAGTTCTGCCATTGCAGAACTGTGAGTTGTTCATGGGAGGAAACCTGCATGTTGGCGCAAAGTTCGGGCAAACAGAGATGTCGAGCATGTCGACAGAAGTGGCATCAGCGTAGACAAGAAAAACACAAGTGCAACAACTGCTAGCTCAGCACCATTGCGCCATTGAATCATTGACCCTTGCGAATTTGTTGGTTCCATGCCATGCACCCTGGGCGAAGCCCGTAACTCTCACACGTGTTTTTCCTCAATTCTCACAAGTACAGTCATTTCTCAAATGTGCCGCCATTTCCACGGTTTTCAACATTGCAAAAACGCACTGGTGGTTCCCCAGGTTTGACTTGTGACAAAATGAGTGAAAGTTCAGGGTTTTTCGGGTATAAAGCTTTTCGGGGTTAGCTTTAGGGTTTAGGGTGTGGGCTTCGGGTTTTTCGGGTTTGAAGTTGAGGGTTTAGAGTTTTTAGGGTTTAGGTTAAAGGGTTAGGGCTGTTAGGGTTTAGGGTTCGGTTTTTTACGGAATTGCGTTTTTAGGGTTTAGGGTTTCCACGGTTTAGAGGATTTAAGGGTTTAGAGGTTTTAAGGTTTTTGAGGGCTTAGGTTTCGGGTTTCAGGGTTTAGGTTTCGGGTTTTTGCGTGTACAGTTTTTTGGGTTACACAGGATGCATCTATGGGTGTGTGAACAGACCTACGCATGTTGAAATATAGACGGTATTTTCAGCCACGAAAAACAACTCGTGATAAATGAGTAGATGTGAATCGTGAATGAGAGATTCGGCTTGTGAGATTCAAGCTGCTGCGCAAATGTTCAAGCTGAGCTTTTGGGCCGCAGAAAGCCGATCCCTACCTAAATCCAAATACAATTGCAGCTGTTATGTCACAAGCAATTTGGTTATATTTATGGGATCAGGATGGATTTAGGGTTGGTTTAGAGATAGTTTAGGGTTGGTTTAGCGGTGGTTCAGGGAGGGTTTGCGGCTGGTGCACTGTTTGTTAAGGTCTTTTTTGTTTGGTGGCTGGTTCAGGGTTGGTTTAGGGTGGGTTTAGTACTTTTGTTAGGGTGGGGTTGGGGTTGGGCTTGGAGATTGCTAGGTTGTATACGAGTAGGTTTAGGGAGGGTGATTCAGGGTGGGTTTAGGGTCGGGTTTGGGGTTGTGTAGGTTGTTTTAGGGTTGGTTTAGTGTTTGCGCAGTGTGAGAAAGCCAGCACCCGCAGCTAGCATGTGCATCACGGGGCAACAGGCTGTGGCAATGCGTCCTGAAGTGCAGTTGATCGCTCGATCGATCCGTGTTGGTCTTTACACGGCACATGCAGTGCAGTCTGTTCTAATGGGTCCTGTACAAAAGATTGGGCAGACCTTGAATTCCTCCTGCTCTTAGTGGCAGTGTTCATGATTGGAGCTTTGCTCAGTCCTACTGTCTTAAGTGCTGGGCGCTCACGGCTTGAATGCGAGTTCTGCCTCCTTGTTTAGAACCGGCTCTTTCCCGATGAACTCTGAGCGAGGGCCCCTGCGATCCTCCACGTTGAGGACTGATACTGTCCAGGGGCACCACTTCCCAGGAGAGCGCATCCATTCGGCCCCATTCTTCTCGATGTATGCTGGAGAAGCATCACACACCTCTGTTGCTACCTGCCCGCATCGCTATGTTGCAAGTCAAAAAAATCCGGCAATACCCCACGCCTCCTCCCAGCCACCTACATCGTGGGGGTCAACCTTGGGTTCAAAATGTGAGCTGCCAAGAGTCGAGCACGCCAAATCTGCACAGTCCATAAAAACAACACCAATGGCACACCATATTTGCCCGCCAAGTCACATGCCATGAATATCTTCTGTCGCAGTCTGTGCCATTCATGATGCGGTTGAAAACAGGGATAGAGCCTTAGAGCCAGAAAGAGAGAGAGGGAGAGAGAGAGAGAGAGAGAAAGATCGCCACATCTGCAAAGCAACATCTGCGCTTCAATCAAACCATCAACCAACACATGGGGCATTTCGATGGCAAGTACTCGTTGACAAGTCAAAGGCTTTAGGGCTGAGAGTTGGACGCGCGGGGCGGCCCCGCAAATTCCGGGTGGCATGCATGATGGCTGTGTCAATGAACGCGTCATCCTGAAAACTCAACGGTCTCTCAAAGACTCCGCATTTGGGCCTGATACTTGCATTTGTGCGCGTTTCCGCTTTGGAATTCTGCAATGCATGCATTGTTTTGCGCTGCCTCCAGCCACTGGGAGATGTGCTGCCCGTCCCCAACCTGTAGGGTGATGAAAGCGCCGCCACGACGCTCTGCGCAGTCCTGTGGTGAGAGAACCATCAGTTGGTGATGTGTCCATGCGAAAACTAAGGCCCCCCAGAAGCATTCCCCGCAAGTTCCTTTGTCCAAACTTGAAATAGGCGGTCGTCTCAACAACATGTTGATACGTCCCTTCACTTGTTGTTTTGTCTTCCGTCCTTTGCCGCATGGGCGATGATGAGCCAGGGAAGCAGCCGCAGCATGGCTACTTATCAAAAAGCTCAGTCGTGCCAGGTGTTCTGGCAGCGGAACCCACTGAATATTTTCCTGCATGCCCGGCTTGTACTTGCGCGGGTTGTCTGTGCAACGGGAATGTTGGCCACCCAGGGGACATCATGGTGCAAAAGCCGACCCTGAGCAGCGAGAAAATCCGGCGGTCAGCACATTGACTGAGGCTCATTGACTGAGGCACATTGACCGAGGTGCTGGTTCTTCAACAATGCAAACTATTGACTTTCACCAAAGCCTAAAGCAACAGCCTTGTTTCAACATCAACATTGGCCAAACACCTCACGGCAGCATCTTTGAACTATCGAAGAGTTGGGCACCTTGCGCATCACAAGCGTGAGGGATTCTTCTGCCTTCTCAGGGTAAGCTACTGCGCTGCCATTCTTGAATCACATTTTGTATTCGCTATGTCGCTTGAAGTGAAACTCCGGATGTCCGACGCATCAGAGTTCTGTCAAAGGTCGGAAAACGAATCTTCTTCCTTCCTGAGCAAAACTTTTGGCGGCTCAGGCATAAGCAACTCATGCCCGCCTTCGCCTCTTTGGACGCCGGGAGCTGTGCTTGTGCCTCTTTGGGCGACTCCTGTGACTGCTGGACCTGCTGGACCTGCTGCGCCATGCTATGCCAACACACGTTCTGGTTCAGGCGCCTGCTGCGACGTCTGCGGCTTTCGGCTTTTACTTTTGTGCCTGGGACTCTGGGAATGGACCATCAGGTTGGCAATGCGGCATCCGGCCTTCTGCGGGCGTTCTGCGGAAAACCTCACGTATCAAACAGAAATCCTATACCAAGGCACTTCTAAAGCCTGCCTTAAATCCAGCTCGTGAGCTGCCTTCAACGCGCCAGGCGACTTCAGACTCCTCCGCCTAGAGAGCGTTGGGCGAACTGGCGCATGGCATTGGCAGCGATGCCTCCTCTTTTGTCAGCCTCGGCTGCAGAATCTCAAGCCCAAGCCGGGACCGAGGCTGAAGACAACTTCTGGTGGTGGCAGCCTTTCTGGCTAAGAGCAGGTCAAAGGCTGAGCAGGCCGAGCCTTCTCCTTTTGGATCTGGTCAAGCACCTTGAGCATGCGCAAGACCCAACATGCCGCGCAATCATAACAAAAACTGATGTGCTCGCTTGACACGCCACCAAATCCAAGGCAGCAGCTGCCTTGTCAGCAACTGAATCGCTTTGGAAACCTAGCGCCTCCACCTAGCCACTGGCAGTGAGGAAGTATGTTTCCAGAAGAATGACTTGAGCAGCACCCAAAAACCCACATTGACTTTGGTTCTACATGAATAGGCTTTGCCATTTAAGAAGAAACAAATGAGCCAGTTAGTAGACCCAACTGCCAAAATTGCCAATAGGTAGGGGAGGCTTCGGGCGTCACTTGCTGCGTGCCTCATCATCGGATTCGGGCGCGCTTTGCTCGGCTACCTTTCGGCTGTTGGCACCTGCCTGCAAAGAAGCGCCACGGTATCTTCTTCATGCCTAATACCAAGTCCCGCGAGTCGCAAGGCCTGCTGGCTGTCAGCCTGTGGCTGGTGCCGTCGACTCCCTCCTTCAAGACATCAGCTTGAGCTTGCAGCATGTCGATGCATGAAGTCCTGTTGTGAAAGAAGTCGATGCATCAGTGCCAGTTTTGAACACCTTCGCCGGATGGCGTCGCCACACCATTCATCAATGCCAGCACAAACCACCAAATTGTACCAGCGGCATCTTACCGATCGCCCGTTTTCTTGGAGCAACAGCACAAGGCTATTCCATCTTTCGACTCCACGACGAAAACAAAGGGGCTGTTGCCCTCAGAAATGCTCCCTTCCAAGTGCTCGTGGAACTGACAAGCTGACCCTGTAAGCAGCTAACAAGCTACTGCAAGTCGTAAGGCGCACTCGCAGCGACTGCAACTTGCACATAGGGGCGGTGATGGTTTTGATTGTTTGCTAGCAAACGTTAGATAGCGGCGATGGCATTCTCGAAATCAGCAACCACTGCACCAGTAGCAACAGCAGTCACAGCAATACTTGCACTGGTAGAGGCAACAAAGAGTACGAACAGAAACCAACTTAGCAATCATAATCATAAACGCAGACCAGAAAACAAAACATGACTCCGCTGCGTTTTTGGATCATGGTGGCAATATCAGCCCGGTGGGCCAGGCGAATCTTATACAAAGCCTGGCTGAATGAACAGGAAACGGCTAATGGGATGCGTTAGACCGGGGCATAAAACACATGTGACAGGCTGTGGATCTGTTCACCCACCGGCTTGCCGGGTGGCCCCTCAAAGAAAGGCAGCCCGCCAACTAGCCAAGTAACCAGCCAGCCGACCAACCTCACTGGGCTGGTGCTACTAGGGCGAGCCAGCGGTTCAGAAAATCCCCTCCTTCTTAGGAGGCTAGCTGATCACTGCAAACAGCAATCTGAACCACGCCTGGAACAATCTGTCCACGCCAAAGGCGCTGTTCCTCACACCAGTCTTTGCACAGGAATGGGTTGGCGTGGTGACATCTTGCTGCCCCAAACGCAGCTCCTGCCAAGGTTGCGAGCATCGCGATTACGCTTCTGCAGCATGCAGGGCCATCTTCTGAGAAAGGCAACGTGCGCCGAGCTGAAATGGCTGGCATGTCTTACTGATGCTGAAGCCATGCATGACGGTGCAACAAGGTGCCAATGGGTGCCATTGTGATGCTTGAGCAACAGTCTCAGAACTCAAGCATTCTCTGCAGCCAATCAAACGGCGGAAACGGAAATAGCCAGCGATTCCAAACGCTTGGCAGCCCTGGTTCACTTGCTCAAGTGCCAGGACACGACACCTGACCCTTTTCTGTTAACGGGCAGGAGTGCTGCGCAGGCGCGTGTTACAAAGTATTTACATTCCTGCAATAGGAAGAATGCAAGATATTGCATGATGAAGGCCGGCAGGGAAAACAGGCCTGCAACGCGTGTGCACTTGCATCGGCCCACATGGCATTTCTCTTTGCAGTGGAATTGGTTGTAGAGGCTGTCAAAAGTCCTCCTTCCGAACCTTACTTTGCCAATCCTGATGCTACCCTCGACATTCCAACGGACGGGCCGGGCTTCTCCATATTGCAGGACACGCGGTTGCGCGCAAGCAATCCTATTCAATCCTGTGCTGTCCTTGCAGCATGTGACACGTCCGGCGAATAAACATCAGAAGATTGCACAAGTGTGCCACGGCGCGGGAAACGTGTACAAAAGGCGCGCGCCATGGCTGGAAACAGTCAACCATTGCGTGATTACCAGCTGCTCGTGTTGCTGGTTGGCCCGCTATGGCTGCTTTCGCCTGAGCTCGGCACGGCCAAGGTGCTATAGACAGGCAACTCGCCAAAAATTGCCAAGCAATTAGCCCTTTAAGCCTAAGACTTTCCGTGCTCTCCACATCCAGGCTCAAGTTCACCTCAGCTTCTCAGCAAGTCCATTCTTCTGCTCCAGTTCGCGCTTCCGTCTGCAAATCAGGGCATGACTTGCTGCACAGCTGGGCCGCCTTGATACCCTTTGGCCTCAAGGAGTTCACATTGCGCGTTGAAGTTCCGCCGGAAAAAGAAGAAGTTACTGCCTGCCCGCGCAGGGCAGGCGCACGCCTGAGTGCAAATTGAAGCCTGCCGAGCTTGAAATCTGCGAATGTGTCAAACTACAAAACTCTTTGAAACGGTTTAGCTTGAGGAACCCAAAAGGAAACCAACCAGCTGGGAAGGTTCCTGATGTTCCCGGCTTTGGATGGTTTTGGCACACCTGGCTCAGTCCGCCACAACTTGAACTGTGAACCTCGTCCTCTTGTGCCTGACCGAGCTGCCGGAAGACTCCGCACAAAGCTGCCACTGAGCTCACGCTGACTGCTGCAAAATGCCGCCGCTGAGCACTGCGCGGCTCTCCGAAAACCAGTCGTACTTGCACATGTTCAAGATCTTGGCAGGTCAAGAATCGATAAGACATCCATGCGCAACCCCGTGGCCCGTGCGTAGAATAGAACCTCGTCATGCAGCCAGTAGAGAGGGGACCTTACTGGCCCCATGAACCCCGGGCTTTGTTCCAGCACGACTCCAAATGCACGTTGCCAAGTGACAGGGGCATTGACAGTTTGCCTAAGATTGATGCTCAGGCTTCCTTGCACAAAGAAGGATGGTCCACACTGCCTGGCTTCGAAACAAACATGGCATGTCCGCAATGCGCTTGGACCGTCCTTATCATTGGATCATTGGCGTGCGATTTGGCCTAAGCCTTGAGAGACTTCCTTGGGCCGACTCCGGGACTTGCAGGCGACTGCCTATGCGGTTAGCTGGCCTGTCTGAAGCTGCGCCTCAGGGTAGGACTCTGTCCGAAGGGCATGCATGAGCAGCTATGCCGCTATGGGCTGGGCGGGAATCGCAAATGAACATCGAGAACTGGATTCCACAGCCGGTAGTTGACGCCATAGGAGATGCGGCCTGCTGCAGTAAAATGTCCCCAAATGTCCCCATTCTCCACAAGACCATCATCCAGCCTACGAACTCTCGCCGGTCACGCCAGGGGAACCCCCACCTTGGAAGGGGATCAAAAAACGGTATGTGTAGCCAAACCTCTGCCAAGCCACATCCCATGCCTTCCGAAAGGCCGATTGCTGAGGTGCGCCTGGCCTCTGACAGAAACACTGAACGGAAATGAACTCAAAGTCTGATTGCCGATGCCTGGCAGTACCTTGAAAACATCATCCTGCCAAGCACAGAGGTCAGTGCGGTGATGGCAAGATTTGCCAGCATGTTAGCCTCATGGCTCACGTGAGATCGTTGATTGTCATACCTACAGCTTCGTCTCCGTGCGGTCCCATGGAAGCAATGAGGAACATACACCAGTGCATCATCACCAGGAAGCTTTGAATGGACCTCGGTGTCGGTTGCCCTGCTGGCAGAGTCTGGCAAGGCCATGCAACACATTGGCAACCTTGTAATGATTCGGGCATCCTGCGATGCTTTACTGGGCTTGGGGCATAGAGACCGCAGCTCTCTCCTGACAAATGGATGGCATACATGTCAGGCCAGTCACGCGACGGGTTTGTCCTGGCTGGAGGCGGATCTCCGATCGGAGCTCCAGGGCTTGGTAGTTCTCGCAGGGCGCGAAGAGTATATGCAATCCACCTCCCATGCATTGCGCCTCGTTAGAGGGAGGATGCTCTGCTTCGTAAATGCAGTCCTTAGACGAGCTGAAAACGTTCGGCGTTCCCTTCTTCTGATCGATTCTTGAGGGCTTGGCCCACTCATGCGCCTCGTGCTCCTCAGGGACACGAAGTTTGGAAACATGACCTGCTTGGCCTGCAAATTTCCTACAACCAAGCGAAGCCCCATACCCAACTGCCAACTGCCCTCCTTCCGTGCTCAGGGCCTTCAGGCCAACGAGGCGGATCAAATATGTGCATTCTTCCGCACATGGTGGCACGCGTTGCACTGGATAAGATTTTCGGAGACCGCAAATGATTGACATAAACTCTGTTTGGACTGCGTGTCTGCATGGCGTTGCGCGAATACGTACCAGCATGTACCAGCAGTTGCTCAAACAGGGCTCGTGGCAGCAAAGTAACACTGTCTTGGCTGGCTGCGCTGGCTGCGCGAAGCTGCACGCCTTCTACATTGGAAACCAGCTCACGCATTTCGGCGCCGACTCACTGACTCGAATAGACACAACACTTCAAGGCAAACTAAACACAGTGTATACCTCAAAGCCAGCCAAAAACGGACTGGCCGAGGCGGGCAACGCGAAGCGTTTACAATAACATATTGTGTTTGCTGCCCCTTTCTTAGTGCCCCTGCAAAGGATTGTGGGGGGAAGAGCTGATTGCTGGCGGCCGCTGCTGTCTTATGATGGCACGCTGTCTTGCCCCCATACCGGTCCACCTTGGGGACTTGCTCTTCGCAGTGGGTGCGGGATGACGGCAGCTGCCTGCAACAGTTTCTTTGCCTGCGTGGGCTGGCCATGCGGGGCTGCTCCTGAACCTCCTGCAGGGCTCCCTGCAACACTTGTGGAGGGAGCAGCGAGGCACTGGGGAGGCTGAGCGGCGTGAGACGGAGAGCATCCCGGCCGTACACATCCATGCATGCATCCATCCATCCATCCATACACATACATATTGCGGGCTTGTGTTTTTCAAGTGGACATATGGAAGTTGGAAAGGGGGTATGAATCGCAGGTATGTTTCGGGCAATTTGGGGGCCAGACTACGCTCAACGTTTCGGCAAGCAACGTGCGTGCACCCCAACGGCTCAGACTTCAGCGACACGCGCTTCTCAAAGACTGCGAGCGCACTGCGCTTTGTTTTTGCGCGCGCTCTTTCGTTTAGCAGTGCAGCTTCCATCCAAGCATTGACAAGAACTCCTCGTCGAGCTTGCCACGCTCCTCGACTTCACGAGAAGGGGCGAGACAGTTCACTCCCGTTGGCAGCTTGCCTCTGCCTAACAAGTTCTCCCCTTTGCCGTTTTCTAGCCGGATCACGCATGGCAATTACTTCACGCCGTGTGGAGCTACGAAGCAGCGCAAGTCGATCCGAACAAAGTCGGAAGAAAACTGTCAAGCTTCAGACTTTGAGCCACGTAGCAAGGGCAAGCTGCCGCGCAGTCCGTCAAGCCTTCACCGTCAAGCTTCGAAATTTAGCCCCGCGCACAAACACAAGCGCACACACACTAAAGCCGGCAGAGGGCGCGCCAGTCCGTGCGAGCCTGCGCGTTTTTGAATTGTTGCGCAAATTTGGCAAAAATGATAAGCTGTCAGCTTGCGCGTGACGACCTGTGAGCTGACCCGAACCTGTGGCTCTTACCCGAAACGCAGGTTAGCGGAGAGAAATGCTTGGGGTCAAGGAAAGGCCCTGATTGCCTTCCGCAAATGAATGGTGCCACCCGCGGCACATACCCAAACGCAAACCTTCAAAAAGGCATGAAAAAATAGGCGTGCAATGGCTTGCAATATCAGCAGTGCTTGCAGACTCCTTGTTGCTGTTTTTGCGCGGCATGAATCGGGGTATGGTTCAGGGGTATGGTTCAGGGGTATTCAGGGGCATGGTTCAGGGGTAGGATTCGGATGTGGTGTTCGCCCAGGTCCCAAATCCCACGTAGACTGCTTAAGCTGAATTCATCCGAAGCCTCTTTATTCATTCGGGGGCCAACCCTTAGCTGGGGTCCATGGCTGCCCGCGCACCGTCTCCTTCTTGCGATAGGAATCGGGGGTCGTCCACACCTCAGACACAGGATCCGGCTGGGTCCAGGTTTGGCGGAGCCGAGCTCGGAGCGGTTAAGGGCCCCAGATCACCTCGAACCTAAAACCAAGCGACTCAAACTGAAACGCACCAAGGAACTGAAGACAAGCGTTGCAACCCAAGCACGGTGAGAGGCCTAAGAGACAGGCCGCAAGACAAGTGATCACCAGGCACTCCACGGGAACCTCAGCTGTCGTCCTGAAGCTCCATGAGGGGCTCAAAGCTTAGCTTCTGAGGCCCAAACACCTCCCTCCTCAGGCCCCTTGCACTGCACATCAAACCTTAGAAAAAGGCAACACTCTCTTGCGCATGCTGCGCATCTCTGTATCGGCAGCCACTACTCGATGCTCTTGGTGCCAGACATCACGCCGCAGAACGTGTGATCTTCATGATCCCGAGTGTCTGCTGTAAAGGTCTCGTGAAGCGTGTGGTTTGCCACCTGCCACTGAAGATGGACGGTCCGGACAGCTTCCCTCTGGCCGGCGCCTTTGGCCTTCGAAGCACGGAAGGGACGTACCTTAAGTGGAACTGACCAGCTGTTGCAAAGCATCTACGAACTAATTAAGCCCCCGCACTCATCTTCCGATTCAGCGTGCATGGCATCGCGTGATTTCTGGGCATGCAAAATCCTGCAGGCGGAAATCCTTGCTGGTCTGAGCTTGCATGCCGCTTCTACTCCGAGCTCACAAGCCCATATCACTGAAATGGGTAAAGACCAAGGCCGACAGGAACACCACTTTGATCAAGGAGCGAATGGAGCGTTTGCCTCTTCATTCCAGGCGTTGAGCACAATTCTCTCAAGCCTCCACACAAAAGGGAGGCCGCTGCCTCATCAAGAGTACACAGCGTAGCTACGAGTATCAGCCCACCCGTGGAGCTGCTGTACAAGGAACCGGCTTGAAGCCACTCAAAGCAATTGCTAGCAGCGAGCCACACGGAGAGATGTGGTATCGTCAAAATTGAATCGCTGGGTACTTGCGCTCGAGTCCTATGCCACGTCCCTGGGAATGAAGCAGGCTGCCGACATCAAGCAATCCATCAAGGATGCATGCAATGGCTCACGCCCATGACCATTCATGAATTATGACCACTCATGACCTACTTGCCTGACATTGTGACCTACCGGTCAAGGCGACTGGGCCTGAGATGCCTGTGCATTCAAGTACTTCAAAAGGGAAACTGGTGGACGCCCGAGTGACTTTCACCAAGGCGACGCACCCTTCAGCAGAAGAATCAACTCCACGAATTTGGCAGTATGGCCTTTCACTGGACCTGAAACAAAAGCTGCCGAATCACAGCCTCTCTCCCCACTTCTCGCAGGTTCGCATGTACCTGGGGTGAGCAAGCCGCATCAAGCCGCACAAACGCCGCAACAAACGCAACAGGATGCTGGTATGTCCAACGCCAGGCTGCGCTTCCCCCAGCTTGTTCACCGTACCATCGTCGTCGAAGAGTCGCAAGTTGTAAGTGCCTGGGTCAACTAAATCGGTGTGTCGGTGTGAATAAGAACTTGATTCCGTTGATTCTAGGGCGCTGAGTCGCTGAGTCTCCATTTTCAACAGTTCTTGCCACTCTTGCCACTCACGTGTCCCGGGTTTTGCGGGTTTTGGTGGCTTCCTGGGAAGCAAGTCAACCCGAGATTTAGGCCCTCTGTGCCCGCCTCCCCCGCGGTCAATGTTGAACCAGGAAAAGCTCTTCACGACGGGCCGTCCGTCGGATGTGGTGATACCAATTGACAACCTCGCAGTGAGATGAACTGTCCACTGCGTTGCAACAAGCCAGGAAATGTCAGGACATATCGGATGATGAAACTGCTGGAGCCTTTGCAAACTGTGCATTGTCTTTCTCTCTCCCCTTCTCTCTCTCGCGCTCTCTGACTCGCTCTCTCTCTCTCTCTCTCTTTCCATCTGCAAGTATGCAACTCGAGGATCTCGGTGACGAACGTGGCCAAGCCCTCCGGCAACTCTTCATTGGCTGGGCAGCCTTACATGGCGAGTTTGTTGGTGGCCTCTGCAAAACGTTGCGTGCTTGCGAAGGCTAGTGATTTGCATCCCTGGGCTGACCCGCGGGAAGTAAAAAGCGTGCTCATGCCTACTCGGTCCCAGAAGTAAGGTTCAGCTGCGATACGGTAAGTATAGTTTGGCAAACTGGATGCGGCAGCCGCTGATCCCAACGACAATGCTGCGCAGACAAGTTGCCAAAGTTTTTGTCCAGCTTAGCCGGGAATTTGCCAGAGTCCGGGACGCAAATCGGATCTTCTTCCGTGGGGGCACAGTTGAGCATGCCGACCTGGGGATCTAGCAGATCTCACCCGGAACGCTGAGCCTCTGCGAACGCATGGAGAGGCCTCATTGATGATGGCCCCCTTCAAGAAGGTGTACTTCCTGTGAACGCGGCTCGCAGCAGCTTGGAAGTCAAATGCGACGTGTTCAATGAACATACTGAGAAGTTGCCAGGCGGCTCCATGAGCCGTGCGATGAGGTTCACCCGCTCCTGCCACAGCTTGCGGCCCATCAGCCACTCCACAGCTTGCGGCCCATCAGCCACTGGGACACTGGGAGCAAAGGCACTTTCAATTAGTTTGCTTTCCCTTCTCCTCGAAATGGTGGTATGCGCCAGTCTCCCGAGGCCGGCAGTCAAAAGCATAGAAGTGCAGCCCTACCTCTTTGCGCGGACGCTGTCGGCTTTAGCGGTACATCAAAAGGCAGGAGAAGTGCTGCAAGAAGTGCTGCCAAGTTGCATAGACTGGGCAGCCACACGAGGCGTCCGTGCATGAGCACGCTCCATTTACACAGCCACAAGCTTTCTCAATAAACTTCTCTGCATAGCTGACATCCACCTCAAGTGTTGGCAGCTGTGATCAAGGAACTCAACGAAACAACTAATCCAAGCATTACTTCACGCCAGCGAGCAGCCAAATATCAAGCACAGCAACAATGCAAAGCAAGGCAGCGCAAGGCAAAGCAAAGCCAAGCAAACCAACCAAAGCAGCTGGCGAACCAACCAAACCAACCAACCAACCAACAAACCAACCAACCAAGCAAGCAAGCGAGCGAGCAAGCGAGCAAGCGAGCAAGCAAGGAAGCAAGCAAAGAAGCAAGCAACTAAGCGCAAGCAAGCAAGCGAGCAAGACTAGCAAGACTGGCACGGGAAGGCAAGCCAACGCAACAGCCTTTGGCCAGCAGCTGGCTTGGCCCGGCCTGACAGCGGGTGCAAGTCCTAAATGCAGGAACGCCGCAAAATCTGTAAGACAACAAACAAACACAAACAAACGCTCCTTCAATTTGCAAACATGTCAGTGCATGCTCAAAAGCACTGTGTGTTGCAGGCGGCTTGAACGGCTCATGTCAGCCACGAAAGGAAACCGATGCCCACGACCGCGTGCCAGGCGCGCGGAATTGCGTGTCCAACAAACGCCTTCCGCGGATTGCAGTCACAGCGTCCCATGCGCTAAGCGCCAAAGCTGGGGAAATGATTAACAAGCCCGGCTCCTGTTGAAAAACAAGTTGCCAGGCCTGCTGAGTGCGCTTGCAGCATGCGTTGTTCAATCAATGGCCTTTTTGGGTGCTTCCATCTCAGAAAATGTTCAGTCTCTTGCCAGCTCCTCCCAGCAGAGTTTGATGCGGCTCCATTCTAAGGGGTGGCCTCACAATTCCCTGGTTCTAAGCGGACACGTGGATGTCGACCATACAAGACTGTGCAGCGGCAGGCAGGCGAGGTCGCTGTCTCTTCTTGAACTTGAGGAATCAACAGCAGAGTCTTCCAAGACCAGGTTGGCAGCGAGCACTTTCGTGGCCAAGGAGTGTCGGGACCCACTGTTTTGTTGTGCATATGAGCTGTGGTGTTGTGTGCATGCTTACTCTAAAAGAGCCCGGGATTCAAAAAGAGATTTGTGCCAAACCATGAATGGACCCCCCAGCACTTCCTCCTCGGCAGCCCACCTGCAAAACTGGGATCAAACACAACGGAGCGTTTCGAATATTGCAGCGGAGGGCTCATTATCGGCTAATGGAACAACATAAGGCAAATAATGAATGCTGGCGAAGCCACAGCCAGCAAAGGTGTAGTCAGGTATTTGTAGCCCTTCTGCCATGCGATTCGCGCTGTCTCTTTCCAATTGCTCATGACTTTGTCTATGCACTGCCTTGGCTGGGCAAACGGCTCGGAACCCGCAGTTGGGCGCTCCGGCGCGGACGCAGGAAAGCCCAGGAGACTTGCTTCACACGGAGGTGACGCCCGCATGTGCAGTGTGTGCAGTGTGTGCAGTCAGGCTGCGGCTCTTGATTCCACAAATCTGGCAGTGGCTGCTCTGCAGAACACCCCGGCACTGGCCAAAATCCCACACCTGTGGCCTCTGACATCGACCAGCAGTCACCTCAAACCGAAAACTGTGGCTTGAACAAGCGGAGTGTGTTCGTGATAGTTCGTGAGTCAGAGCTGGCTTGGTATTCCGACCAACGCACCATGCAACTTAGTCAGGTCGCACATGCCACGACTGTTCGGCGGCGAGGGAGGCAATCCAATTTGACGGTTGGCTGCAGGGCAGTCGTTTGCGCGGACAGCGTCTGGAGTACATGGCCTGGCAAGTTCCAATGCGTACACCCTGTTGGGCCCGGAACCACTCCTTTATGAACACGACAGTGAACGCGACGCCTTTGTCAAACAAATGCTGGCCGGTTCAGCTTCCCACGCCAGTCTCCCTGCCCTTAAACAGCCCCTTTGTGAAACTCTCATCAGAGCCTGGTGCAGGTCCCGAACATGTCACCCATGCAGCTTCCCTGGATGTCGGGCTCATTCATACCCATGAAGATGTTGGCCATCTGTGCGGGGGACTTCTTGCCGTTGGAGTCCCAAAAGTCCACGGCGCCGGCCTCGCGCACCCACTCGGCGTTCACCACGTTGGCGCCCCAAACCTCCGGCATAAAGGTGAAGTCCTTGGTGAGGTGCTCGGTGGCCCCGTCCGGTGTGGTCTGAGGTGCCAGGTTCCAGTTCCAAAAGCTCACCTGGCAGAGCCAGAGCGAGGCCTGGCTCCCCACATCTTCTCTGCCCACATAAAATGACGGACACAATTCCCTCACTTGGGACCTTTGGACCGTTTTGTGCGGATGCCACAGCCTTCCCGAAAGAGCTGCTACGCTTCAGGGACTCGATAAGGCGCTGGGTCTCGGGAGCCGCCACCCCATCTTCGGAGATTCCGGGCAAAGCCCCCAGCAGACCGCAGCCCCACTGTGGGTCGGTGTTGTCAATCGACTTCAAAGACCTCCCCGAAGTCCTGGGCACAAGACTTCCAAACAACATGGCCCTTCAATGAAGCAATCCCGAGCGCCCGACGCCAGCTCACCCATTGCTGAAGCACGCACCTGGGCTTCCAATTGAAAGTACCCTGCAAGCTCCTGCTTGTTGATTTGCTTTCGAGCCGCCAGGCCCACCATGCCAAGAGCTGCTGCTCCAGTTGCTGCACGGCGCATCCACGCCCATTTTCTGCCTGCGCACTTTGCAAACATGGAAGCTATGAAGCTCGTGCAGCAGGTTGCTGCGCATGGCTGTGCTGCCTGACTCCCGTTGAGGCTCTCCTTCCAGATTGCCATGATCTCTTGTATCCTCGCCCGGGAAGCCTTCAGGATCGCGCATGTCCTCAGGCAAAGTCAAAGTGGCAGAAGGAAGCACACGCCTGTGCTGTCCAGCTCTGCCAAAAGCAGTGAGAGAAATCGCTGCCAAGGCTCAGGCTGCAAATGGCCTGCGCTGCAAGCAAGTGAAGGAAGGTCCGGCTGAAGGCACTGCCAATGGCTGAGCCAAAAGACAGACGGGAAATTTGCCAAGGTTTGATCCATCGACTCATTCCCAGTCAGCCTGCAATGGCAAAAGCAGTGGGCTTACTGGCATGCAAACAGCAGGTCGCAGCCGAAAGCGCACGTGTCGCGATTTTGTGCGACTTTGAGTTTTGACTCTCTGGCCAAAGCCTTCCAGTGTCCTCATCGCTTTTGCGAATAAGGACGTCTGCTATCGCATGGAAGGAAGCGCAAGGCCAGGCACAAGCTAAGTGGCGTGAATTCCGCTGCCACACCTCCTGGCATCATCTGACAGGCCGCGGGGCCCAAGTGATGCCTTGCGTCCTCAACCTCGTGTCAAAACGTCAGCGCCACACTCAGCCTAGAGCAAGGCAGAGGCTGCAAGGCGACATCGTTGCCCTCGGTGACCACCTTAGACACGAATTGGAATCCGTTGGCAACTCGTCAAATGTCTGATGTGTTCATTCAACTCCGAGGCAGGCACTTGCCAGCCCATCTCATCTGCCTTTCGGACCTGCCACAAGGCACAGGCACCGCCTTCCGAGTGTGCGCAGCTTCCTGCCAGGCCAGGCTTGCCAACTCAGGGTGTATTCGCAGCCTGTCGCTGGCATATCGTAGCGCCTCCATTCGGAAAGCAGTTCTGTGCAACAAATTGAGCATTGTTCGCATCAAAGCCCGCATGTTCCTTTCCAGCACTTCGGCCTCGCCCTTCTGGGAGACTGCTGCGCTCATGACCTCCAAGTCATCTTGCAGGTCCTGCAGGAAACTGCGATGTCGACGCTTCCTTTTTCTCGGTCACCGTTCCACCCCTCCCCTGCCGCCAATGAGAATCCCAAGACGCACGGTCATATAGGCATAACTGTTCAGGCGGTCCTCGTCAACGAACTGCAGTGTTTCCCAGCTCTGCTCAATGGCGAAGAGAGCTGCAGCATCCAGTGGCAATTGTCAAGAATAATTCAGATGGGGTGAGCTCAACATGCTTCCAGCCATGACTCGTGACTTCTGACACATGGTGGGCACATCAGAGGAGGACATGATGAGGTGCACAAACATAGGAAGGGCCAGCCACATGAATAAGGTAGCGAGGCATGTGTCCAACAGCTGTAAATGGCCTAAGTCTTTGTTCCTCTTCAGCTCGTTCGATGCATACCCATATGAGCGCCAGTCATTTGCGATGGCCTGACAGCAAATGCACGCATCCACAGACGAATCCACCCTTTCCAAACCTCTTTCATGATGTCGAAATCCTCCCTGAAAGCTTGGTAGAAGGCGAAGCGCACGGAGCAGCCATCCTGAAAATGACACATTGGTCATGATTTGTAGTATGTGAGTACTTATATGCTTGTCTCTGCCAATAATTACTCTCGGTGCATGATTGTTCAATTATGCTTGTTGCTTTTGTGCTTTCGTCTTCGCCTGCATGCTTTCAGGCTAGGGGAGGCCAACAAGTCATGCGCAACTTAGCGCTGTTCACGGAAAGACTAGGGTCAGGGTTGGTTTAGTTTCAGGGTGAGGTTCGGGTTGGTGTAGGCTTGGTGTAGGACTGGCTTGGTGTGAGGATCATGTACAGTGGATGCTTGCAAGGTGGATTGGATGCTGCTTTCAGTACTGCGTACGGCCGATTGGAGGCAGATGTTGGCTCACTTCAGGATGGATTTAAAATTCGGGGGGTTGAGACCCCCCCCTAGCTTGCCAACAAGTTGAACAGCCAAGCAAACAAACCAGGTTGACTTTTGAACATGTGGCACAAATCTTGGTACATGATTGCCCCGCATGATGCACATGCGCTACGCACAAAGGCAAACTATGCGGCCACCCAAAACACATGCGCCTCACTTGGACCTAGGGCCTGGTTGTCTATTGGCTCTGATTGGGCGGCAATTGGGAGTTTCTGGGGTCCGGTTTGTTTGCGGGGGGGGGGGAGGGAGGTTCAGACTGCCTTAGATTTTACTCAGAGAAAGTCTTGGCTAGGTTTGGGCTTCATTGAGGCTCAAAGGGCTGACATCCAGGCTGCTGTTGGGCGGGTTTGGGGGCTGACTTTGGGTGGGTTTGGCGTTCGCTTGGAGCTGATTTGCTGTTTTCGCGGTGGCTCTGGTTTGCTTTTGGGTCTGGTTCCGTGAGCTTTGGGCTAGTTTTGGGGCAACGCTACAAAAGCAATCCGAAACCAGCCCAACACTCACGTAACCACACCCTAAAGCAAACCAAAAGTCAGCCTTGACCCCACCCCACAGCAGCCTGGATGTCAGCCCTTTGCTGAGCCTAAATGACCAAGAACCAAAGGTCTAATCCAGCCTGAAACCACCCTTGCGGCCCCGAGCAACTGCCACCCCATCAGAGCCAACTCTATGACCGACCAACCAAGCAACCAGCCAGGTCCGGGAAACCAGAGTTACTAAAAACGAGCTACTTAGGGCAAAAAACAAACACAAAAACACAGGTCGTCCATTGGGTGACCCAAGCTCTCCTGCCGTGCAGCCTCCAGCACAACCTCGCAAGCACAGAGAGGTCTCGCACCCGTGCTGCGGCTGGTTCCCGCCTCCCGGTCGCACCGGAGAGCTTCGGATGCAAATTGCAAAGCCATCCCGGAGCGCTTCAACGCCTGGACGAACCGTTGGAATATGTCAGACTATGTCAGAATGAGCAATCGCCCATGCAAGCACCTGCAGCATGAACTCCTTGTCTCCCCGAAGACAGGGTGCAGCAAATTGGGTCGCCTGGGCTCGCTGCCCGTAATCAGATAAGTCTGGACCACCCCCAATGAGCTTCCCACCCTCCAGTCCTGTTTTACCGCCTCAGGCTCATGAATGCTGAATGGTGCGTGAGCTTGCGGCTGCTTGAGGCTGCCGCTGCAAGCCCCAACCTGGCATCGACTCGAACAGCCAAGGGCCTCGGGCACACTTCCAAACCAAAGTCATTCCATGGCAAATCTGAGCTGATGGCGCTTTGCCCAAAGCTTGCCAGTCACGAGAAACTGCCTGCACATGTCGGTGATGGTGGGCGTTGTAGGTCACTCCGCAAATAGCAGCTTTCATGAAAACAATATTTATTCAGACCACCCGATTGTATCCGATTGTACTTGATGTGATCTCTTGGCCCGGGCTCCTGTGTCCAGGACTTGCGCTCTGCTGGCCTCGGATCTGCAGAGGGGCAATGGTTCACAGGGCAAGGGTTGGCTTGACAGATTGTGACGAGCTCCGCCCCGCATCAGTCTAATTCTTGCTGAAGCTCAGTGCGTGGCGAGAGGTTGTGGGGCTTAGAGGGTGTCTCTGCTCTGGCAGCTGTCATTGGCAGCCAGCAGTCTAAACAGGCACTCCTTTAAGTCAATGTCCTTTTCTTCCAAGACTTGGCTCAGTGTCTGTTCCTGCTTGTTTGACGCTTTTTCTCGTGTGTTCGTTCACCTGTGTGAGAAACCCATCAGAAGCCACTAAATGCCGCACAGCGCTGACATCTCCATTTGTGCGGATCTGCCCCTGTTGTATGCTTGGTCGTTTTGTTGCTGTGCGCCTAGATCTGCTCCCGTCATGCGGTCATATTCTCAGCGTTCGTGGCCAATGGTGTTCATGCATGAAGGGAGAATGAGAAGGTCAGAAAGTCGGGCAAAGCACTGCATTCGCTGCCAAACTTGGTCTAGATGACGAACGTACGCGCTGACAAGCCCATTCTGTTGCGCAAGTACCGGGCCTGCTGGAGTCACACCTGCAAAGCCAAGCACATTCGTGCCCGGCTGTGAGGGGGAAGATGGCGAGCTCACAGCTTGTACACCGGCTTTTCCACGGTGTGCTCCTGGCATAGGAGCGATGGAACTGTTTGAGCACCAAGTCTAGCCCTGAAATTGATTTTGGCTGCCTATTGCCCACTTATCCGTGAAGGCTCGTCAGACTTGCTGGATCTTGCTGGTGGCTCCTCCTTTCTCCCATTGGGCCATCGGGTCACGGTTCTCACTCCTTGCCAGCTGCACAGGATGTTAAGCTAGCGACAGAGCACCCGCCAAACAGACGGGCCAGGCGGTCAAACAAGGCACAACAACCAAACACATTGTTGCCATGTCTCGGACCCATCTGCGGCCATCTTTGCCCAACACGTTCTCTCGTTGGACTTCAAGCCGCGGCCACTCGTCAGCTTGTGCACTACCAACTTGAGCCTCAAGCCAAAGGGCACAAAGCGGCTCGTCGCAGCCAAGGGCCGGCCTTGTCTCGCGGAGCCAGCTGCGACGCAGCTTGAGCCGCCCGCAACAGCCGAGCATAGATGCCCTGCTTCACAACAGCGGTGTGAACTCCTTGCAAGAAGCGGAAGCCAGAATCCACACATGGGCTTTCAGCTTCAACAGTCACACCTTGGCATGCCTCCAAGTAGGCACCACGCCTTGCAGTTCCAAAAAAGAATCGCAAAAGAAACCACAAAACAATGAGGGGCCCTAAGCCTTCACACACGACATCTGGTCCTGGCTTAATGTTGATCCGCGTCAGCTCCTCATCGAGCATGTCATCTACCCCGCGCCCAGCAAAGGCCGCGCGGAAAAGTCTCTCTGCTTGCTCATAGCTGACCGAGGTGAAAGGAGGCCGGCCGTCCACGCCAGACAGCGGGCTGCTCCGCACCCTAGGGTGCACTGCTCCTGGCGGCTTGGCCACCAAACTTGCTATGAATTGTAGTCGGCAGTTCAAAATTGTAGATTGGCTGGACATGGCTGGAAACACACATTCCCATGAAGTCCACCAAACGGGCCCCCCATAAGTCATACTCATGTGCTGGACGAAGCCGTCACAAGTGGACTGGCCTGGTCGCCAAGTGCGCAGACGCTGGTATGCCTCCGCCACCCGACTAAAGGCCTCGTTGCTGGCCTCCAAGGGTGCCAAGGCGTGCAAACAACACGCCCGTCCTAAGACGCTCCCTCCCTGTCTCTCTCTCTCTCTCTCTCTCTCTCTCTCTGTTTCCGGGATCGCGGCTTCAGGCAAAAAAGAAAACAGGCAATCCAAAGCCGCAGCAATGCAAGCTTTTTGGACTTTGCCCACCTCGTCCTCTGTGGAATCTGGATGAGTCCGCAGGGCTGCCTTGAGATATGCTGCCCGCAACTCTTCTGGCGAAGCGCCTCGCGCAATGTAAGAATCTAGTCCATCGAGTCAGGTTGGCTGTTGCCATTTTGGCGACTGCCGTGCAAGATCCTGCACTGCAGGCCAAGCAATTGTCAAACCAATCCCTTGATTTCCGGGTCTTTTCTCAAGGAGGCCGACATGAAACCAAGCGGTTTAAGCGTTTGTGCCTGGATGCACTCCAAGGATCTTGTAGGGATCCTCTCCAAGCGCCATAGACAAGCTCCTTGCAGCAGGCGAATGAGTCTGGGCAAGGCCGGAAGCCCGCACGAAGGCGGTCCTCCAACGCCCTAGCGGCGCTGGGAGCCTTGCAAGGACCTGAGAGTCGCGCATTCAACACAATTTCACGTGGCCTCTCACGCGATGCAGTTGCGTTTACTGCGCCACTTCCGCTGATGATGAGAGGGGCCATTGTTTGGAGCGCCAAGCACACCGCCGCTTGCAGCAGTCTGAAGCACCAATCCGAACCAGCCATTCAAGCCAGCCGCTTAAGCAAAGGGAAGATCCGCTGAGAATCTGGCAGCTGGCAATTGGTGCAGCTGGCGTCTCATAAGCTGCCAAGGATCGCATGGCTCGCCTCCCACATTCAAGAAGGGCCGCCAGCCGAGCCTTGATTCACTTTCTGTTGGGCTGACCTGTCTGAGCGGAGTTATGCCTAGAAATGATGCATGCTGGCTCTTGCTCGTCCAAATGAATGGCTTGATCAAGAAAACCCAGCGCAGGCTTAGAAGACGTCACACCCAAGACAAGGCTTGTGTCATATTTGCATGACCACAGCACGGTAGTCTGCATCGGCCTGGCTACACTGCAACTGGCAGTTGGCCAAGGCAACTTCCTTGCTGAAACTTGTTGGAACATAGGCGCTTTTCTGTCCCTTTGGCAAAGCTCGACACCAGAAACTCAATACAAACCCATGTCTTGGACATGGCCGCTGTAGCTTCCTAGCTAGCCAATCAGGGTTGTAGAGCTGGAGCCGAAAGCGTCCTTGATTACACAGCCAGCTGGCTACATGGGAGTGTTCAAGAAAAGTCATCTTCCAAGAGGTCTGCTCATTCATGTGCATTGCTGGAGCCAATGCTGCATCCACGTCAATGTAGTGAATTGTCTCTTCTTGTATGTAAGCACACCGCCGTGAGTATGAAGTCCTGCAACATCAGCAAGCTCAAACAAAAGTGCGAGAAGGATCCCTGCCAGCTACAACTGGCATGCACGTAAAATTGCCAGTGGCGCAATCGCGGGGCTGTTTCTGGAATGCTGTAGAAGGCCTTCACATCCTGGCAGTGACAGCCCTGACAACAGAACTCCCTACACTTGCCAGATCTCCTTGAGCACAGCCATTTGCGCTGGGATGCCGCCAGACACAAACCCGAGCCTTAGCTAGAAACGACACACGCGGGGCGACTCCACTCGACCCTGCCAGGAGTCCAGGCGCCAGTGGCCCAGTCGGCGCACCAATGGTGCTCCTGTAGGTGCTCCTCAAACCACCTGACCTCAAGCCGGCTCAGCATAAAGTGAGTCCCACAGAGTTCACTGGGAGGGTTCTGAGGACCAAACCCGGCCCAAGAGCTTGTCCCAAGGGCAGATACTGCCTTGGCCGACCAGGTTCATGCAGCCAACAATGCCAACTGTATCGCATGCTGCTTGTTCAACGGATGATGATGACATGACGGATGTCAGCCAATGTCAGGTTGAAATCTTGCTTGTGCATGTTCATTATTCATATCATACTTCCCTGCTCTCTCAACACAGTTGCACGTGACTTGTTCCCAAGATGCTGATCTGGAGTTGTTGTTGGTGGCATTGCGGCCTCATTCCACAGCATCTGGCAAAAAGCCCCCTGCGTGACTCTCAAACCAGCCTCCGATTGGGAAGTACCTCATGGGAAACGGGCTGAGCTCCATGCATGGTGAAGTGCTGAGCTCTCGGGCTCTGATCTGTACTTCGCATCCACGGGCGGAAGCTTGGGAAGCGGCCTCGCTTAGCCATTGCCCCATGCAGACAAACAAATGCCAGCAGGACTTCCGTCTCTCACCAGCTACTAAACATTACACTAGTTGTTTTTGTTGCATCTCTTTCCTCGTTGATGGCCTTTGTTGCCACTTGTTTGGGGGGGCCATTCCGGAGCCCCTGCATGCAGCGAGCATATCGATGTTCCTGCCCAACGCTTTTTCGCACCTGGTTCTCCATTGAAGCCTGTACATTTGAGCTTTCTTGCAGCTGCCTACTCCCCGAACTAGACTCATTACTTGGACCTTGCCTTCAGGAGAACAACGCGGTGACAAGCAACAGGGAAAATATCCTCCCTTCCAAATTCCCCTTCTTTGCGCTTTAGTCGAATCTGCCGCTGTCAGAAATCGAGCTGCATTGCCAGCCCTTTGGCTAGCTTCCTTCTGCGGAGATTAATTGGAAGTGGCTTAGTAGGAGCAGTGACTCACATGAAGTCATCCTCAATCTCCCTGCACTCCTCGACCGAACCAGTCTTGGAAACGCCTCAGGGAGTAGACAGGCTGCGGCGGCACCACTACACAAGCCCATTCCGCACCCCACCAAGGGCAGTGCCAACGTTCGTGGTCTTCTCAAGGTGCTGCAAGGCAGTGTAGGATTGCATCTCCTGGCGGCCGCACCAGGTCTAAGCTTCCAGTAGATGCCGCAAGTGTCCCTTTCTCTTTGCCCAGCTGGGAGTCCTTTTCCTCAGCGAACCGCTTGGCCTCTTCTTTCTCCGCTTTTTTGCGCTCCTGTCAATATGAAGTATGGGGACATGAAATCCCAGCTGTCCATCACAATTCAGCCGTCTCCTCAATGAGCTTTCTCCGCCTTGCTCGCTCCTCGTTGTCCCTTTGTTCCTTCTCCTGTACGTCATGCAGCTCAAGTCGCTCCACAAGTCAAAGCGCTGCCTTGGCGAAGTCCACTTTTCTCTCCTCCCGTGTCTTCTCCAGTTTCTTAATCACGTCCTTGTCCTGGCTGCATGGCCAAGAATCAGACCGGCATCTAAATGCACAGAAAAGCATAGTGACCTTGGCCACATTCTTCATGAGGGTACGGAACGACTCCTCCTTGAACCCAACCTTGCATGTCTCCGGCACGGATCGTCACGTGCACAGCTCACGGCTGCCTGACCCACTTCCATGTGGTCCTCTTTCTTCAGATTGAGGAATGGGGTGTAGACAATGTCGCACTGCGCGGCCTGCGTGTGAAAATGTGCGCAAGCCGAGCTGTTGATGTGCGGCCTTGCATCCTTCAATGGAGTTCTCTTTGGTCAGCTGGGCCATTTCATTCAAAATGTCTTCCGGGACAGTGGCAATGGCGTCCAGGAGCCTAGCCGCTTAGCGCTGCGCAAGGGCATGCAGTTCATGCACGAGGACGCAAAGAAAAAAAGAAAACACACACACACACACACACCCACACACACACCCACACCCACACCCACACCCACACCCACACCCACACCCACACCCACACCCACACCCACACCCACACACACACACACACACACACACACACACACACACACACACACCTGCCTCTTCTTGGCTTCCGCCTGGCCCGACATCTTCATTGCTTGCCATATGTCACCATAGCAGGCGGTTGACACATGTTGAGTTTGACGAGTTACATGACAAGCGCGCTGCACCGCATACATCCCAGCGACCTTGTCCTTGACCCCAGCTAGGTCCACACTGCCCGTCGGAAGCCGAAGATAACTTGGCAACCGGCTGGGAAGACACGATCAAGCTATTCAAGCAGCTGGGCTTCAGACACGTGGGCGGAGGACAGCTTGTCAACATGAAACCAAATGTCCTTGCAGCTCTGCTTGCTCACGCACCATTCCCTCCCCATTCCAATCCATATGCCATATTGACCACTACTCCCTCATACAAAGCAAGATGTTGCTGTGACCGAGGGAAAACGACGTAGTCATTCAAACAATATAATCTGCACTATCTGCATTTCTCTGCGGCATTCTCATTGGTATTCACCATCCCCCGTACTACCGACTATATTTCACTGCCGTCTAACCCCCTCAATATTGAATGGGTAACAAAAAACACGAAGTATGGAACAAACTTGTCTGAGTTTGTTTCATATAAACTGGGTCCAAGAAATCCGTCTAAGCAAAACCGCGGGGAAAATTGAGAAAATTGCCCCAGCTATGTTCTTCCTGAGGAAAAACCAAAAAATGGCGACAATCGAATTTAGCGGCGGGAATCTAAGATTCGGTATCGGCAATACTAAATTTAGTATTGGCAGCGCTGAATGCATACGGAATTCAAGATCAAGTGTTGGCAATACTGAATTTGGCATGGTCAGTTTCGAAAATCAAACACTAAGCATTAACACCTCTCCTCCAAGAAAAGAAGACTAAGCATTTTCAATATTTCAAGAAATACAAAGAAGAAATCGATTGCATCGAAATGGTATCGCGCGGCGAATGCTTTTAACGGGCTTGCGAGCTCGGAGCCTCACGGGCCGAGGGCCGTTCGATTCGGCTCGACCAATGGATCTCCTGGATGCCGAGGCCGTCGGCCGTTCGTTCGTCGAGATGACCCCAAAGCCGCTCGAGACGGGTCCAAGACGGCAGAGCCGGAACGGGTCCAAACAAATTCCAAAAATAAAATAAATCAAGTAATTGGAGGTTTTGGTGCTGCAAAGAGGAGAAGGAAAAAGGGGGCCGAGTCGCGCGTTTCGAGAAAAGAACATCCCAAGAGCCCATCGTGTTTGCTTTCAGCGAAGCCGCAATCGAAGTCGACATCCCCAGGGTGTCATCCCAACAACCGTGGTTCGGCTCCTTCCCACCCGGGAAAAAAGGTCCTTCCCAACACGAGCACCAGCCAGAAAAAACACATACGGCTTGCTGGTTGATGAAAGCCGTGTTCGAAGTGCAAAGCGTGCAGGACTTACAAGCATCACACTCGGCATGCTGTTCCGCGAGTCGGTGTGCAATCGGCGCGGCAGCGCTGGGAATCTGAGATCAAGAATTGGCAGTGCTAAAATTAGTATTTACAATCCTGAATTTAGTATTGGGGATCTACAGTTCAGTATTGACTAAAATCAGCAGTGGAAACCTGTAATAGCTAAAAGGTATCCGAGGAAGTTGCTGGCAGTGTCGTGGATTTGGTTGGAGGACCCATTTCACAGACCAGAATTTCAACGTTTTTGGGGGGGCCTGCTGGGGGCGGGGCTGGGTTGTTTTGGGTGCCCCCAGCCCCACTGCGTGGCAATACTGAAGTTAGCATTGGCCATACTAAGGGTGCGGATTTATTTTGGGATTTGCTTTTGGTTTTTTTGGGGGGGATTTTTCTTCGTTTTTCGTCCGGGCCAGTAACGTGTCGTATTTTACTGCGTAACGTGTTGTATTTTACTGCATTTTCTCGCGAAATTGACGCATTTCATTTTACACAAGCCCGTCAACATCCCCAGCATCGGATTCAACATCCCCCTCATGTCCGGCCAACATCCCTAGCATCACCAACAAATCGTGGGTAACAAAATCCAAAAAGTAGCTGGCGGGTTGACGGGGTCAAAAAAATAGTGATTCAAACAGGAGGGCATTTCAATCCCAGCAAAAAAAACAACAACATTAAAACAACAGAGCGGGGGGGTTGGGACCAACAGCCCCCCCATGATGGTCGCAGAAGTGATGATTCGAATAGGGGTGCAATTACATCTCTGCAAACAGTCTAAAAACTAGCGGGGGGTTGGGCGGGGGCGGCAGCCCCCCCATGATGTTCGAAGAATTGATGATTCAACTAGGGGTGCAATTAATTAAATCTCTGCAGAAAATCTAAAACGTAGCGGGGGGGTTGAGGGGGGCGGCAGCCCCCCCATGATGTCCAAGCCCGTCAACATCCCCAGCATCGCTTTCAACATCCCCCGCATGTCCGACCAACATCCCTCGCATCACCAACAAATCGTGTGACGGGGTCAAAGAAATGATTTGAATAGAGGTGCAATTACATCTCTGCAAAAAGTCTAAAAACTAGCGGGGGGGTTGGGGGGGCGGCAGCCCCCCCCCCATGATGTTCGAAGAATTGATGATTCAACTGGGGGTGCAATTAATTAAATCTCTGTAGAAAATCTAAAACGTAGCGGGGGGGTTGAGGGGGGCGGCAGCCCCCCCATGATGTCGGAAGAAGTGATGATTCAAGTAGGGGTGCAATGATTCAAGAAAGGGGGTGATAGAATTTAAAAGGCAGCGGGAGGGTTGGCGGGGGTGGCTTCCCCTATGATGTTCGAAGAAATGCATACATACAGACATACATGGATTCACAGAATACCTAAAATGTCGTATTTTGCAGCATTTTCTCGGCAAATTGGACGCTCGAAAAAGTGACAATTCAAACCGGGGTGCAATTCAACCTCTGCCGGGCCAGTAACATGTCGTATTTTTACTGCATTTTCTCGCGAAATTGACGCATTTTACACAAGCCCGTCAACATCCCCAGCATCGGTTTCAACATCCCCCGCATGTCCGACAAACATCCCTCGCATCACCAACAAATCGTGTAAGCCCAGAAGCCGAGAAGCCGAGAAGCCAAGAAGCCGAAAAGCGAAGAAGCCAAGAAGCCAAGAAGCCGAAAAGCCAAGAAGCCAAGACGCCAAGAAGCCAAGAATCCAAAAAGCCAAAAGCGGAGAAAACAAAAACCTAAAATAAATACCCCTTCCCATACTAAGCTTAGCGTTGGAAATACTGAACGAAGAATTGGGAACCTGAGATTCAGAAAACTATACTAAATCTAGTATTGGCAGCACTGAATTTGACAGTGGAAATCTAAGGTCAACTGTTGGTTGTGGGAGTCTATTGGCAATGCTAAGTGTAATATGGACCATATTTTGGGTCATACAATGTCAAACCTCTTCTCAAAGTTTGACTGATTTTTGTTCGGTTTTGGTGATTTCCGTTTTGGAGTGGTTAAGACCCATTTCATAGCTATGTTAAGGGCTCGATGCTTGGTCTAAGCTTTGGCTTTTAACATGTCTTACATATATATATATATAATAATATATTTCGACCGAATCGGTCTAACGCTACCCATTTTACAGCTCCAGTAGTACAGGGTATATTCACCATTAATCTTGCGTGAGGCGTGTCAAGCAAGGTCCTCTGGAAAGCCGTATTTCAACAGCTCCTCGTTCTCATATTTGTCCTTTCCCATGTAAACCACCTTGAGAAGAAGAAGAAGCAGGGATACCGCAAGCTAGCACAGCTCCAGCCAAGCGCCCAGCATAACGGGGGTCTGAGCAAGTGAAGAAGAACACCTCGTTCACAGCAGTGGCTTTGGTTTGCGCTGGTTGGGTTGCTGCTTGCGGCAAGGCATGCAAAGGTCCCAGTTCATCAACTTGACGACCCCTGAGCCGCACACCATTGGCGCGTCGAGCAGCCATACAGTGACCCAGCAGGCTGCGAGCCACACCGCCGTTGGGCCAGTGGATTCCACAAGCATGCAGAAGCTGATGTGGACCAAGGTCACAAGGGCAAGCAATCAACCAATAGTTGCTCATAGTTGCTCATAGTTGCACAAGACAAGCCTTCAACTCAACCCCAAACACATAGGGACTGGACGGAAGCTCGCCCAGTTGCACTGCACGCTCCTGTGGGACAACTGGCCAGAAGTGGGAAACGACAACATACTTTGGCAACATACTTTGGCTCAACAACTGTTCAAGGGCACTCCCTCTTTACCTCTCTTCAAATCAGCTCTCCTTATCGCAGGCAATTGCCTTGCAGTGGCAACAAATGTTGACTCTGCCACTTGACATTGAGGCGAAACGCGCGCGAGCCAAGTTCAGAACCCACGTCAAGTGTCTTCCCTTCATCTGCGCCCGGTTGGTTGGTGCCATGATTTCAGCGACCTGGCAGCATTACTGCTCAGAGCTTGACAGAGAAACATGCTCAGGTGCGCACCTGGAAAGGAGAAGCCGAAAGAATTCCCTTTGGCTGGCAGTTGCTTGAGGTTGCAAAGGCCACTCGTGTGGTAAATAAAGCCCTTGCAGCATTTGATTTGCGAGACGTCGTAGCGAGTTGTGCGTCAGCTATGGACCTGCTTGAGTTGAGCAACGGCAGGCGCACTGCGTCTCCAGAGTTGTGAAACCTTCATGCATGAATCCCGCGTGACGTGCCTCTGCGTATCATCATGCCTCTTGCCTGCCATGGCCCTCAGCACCACCAGTTTACTTCGCGCATTAACGGCTGGCGGGGGCTCGCGCTGAGCGCCCATTGGATTCTAAGATGCCGTGCCAGCGGAACAGGACAGACTTTGTGCCCCAAGACTGGCGCAATTATATGGGCTCTTTGGCCCTTGCATGGCGGCAGCAATGACTGGCGAATGAAGGACTGAGAACATGTTCTGGGCAACTTCTGCAGCAAGGTCATGGAAACAAAGCGCCGGGAAAGCTGCAGCGTGCACTTTGTTTACTGAGCTTAAACGGAAAGCTCCCCTTGCAGCCAACTAAGTAACTAACACTTCATCTTGACTGGCCATTGCTCTCAGCTTTGCACCTTGGCCAGTGCCATGTACAGTCTGCCAAGGCTATAAACATCTTTAAGCTTTTGACCTGCGTTCGCTCCCCTAGCCGGCGCAGGGTCACTGGAACACCAATCTGCCAAGACTTCCCCTCGGCAAGGTCCGCTGCACGCCTTGCAGGCAGAGGTCCTTGACCGAGTCTGCGGTGGCTGTGATGTCCTCAGTGCCTACATGCCGACTTGTGGAGCCAGCAAGTTGAGCCAAGCTGAGTGCGTGCGCCTCTCTGAGAGCTTCCGGTGGTGGCGCTTGATAGTCACGCCGTGAAGACGACTCACCCTCCTCAACAGGTCATGTTAGATTGCATGCCTTCACTGTGCATGCTGGGCCGCCGGCAAACTTCCCGCCGAGGCCCAAGGACGAGTCTGACGGATCCCAAACAGGCGGGTATAGTACGCGTATGCATCGGTGCCGTGGTGAACGTACTCAATATGCACATCCAAGTGCCAAACGCAACGCCCTCGCTGGTGACGCCTAAGCGCCCCCGCAATTTGCTTTATCTTTGTGCCGCACTTTTTAAGTGCCACACATCAGACTTCCTGGCAAAGGCCAGGAAGAAATGCAAAAAAGAAAATCTTGTCTACAGCATTTAATGCCGTGAACACCTCACGACTCTCGTGCTGCAGCTTTGCAAGCAATATGATTGCAGGCACCGGGCCTTGATTGGTCTGGCACGGCCCCTGACGACTCGAAACGCATCGCATGACACAGACAAGGCCAAGTAATCCTCATATCCAACAAGGGCCGAGGACTAAAAGGATGTTGCGCAACATCGTTGCATATCCAGCCTAGCGCTGGCTGAGAGGAGCACCTCCTGCATTGAGAACTCATGGAAGCTGCGTGTGCTTTGTTCGTTGCCCAGCCTCATGGACCTGCGGTTGGATGGCAAGCCAGCCGGAAGTGAAGAGCCATCTGCCTTCTGCAGTTTCAAGTCGCAGGCTCAGCGCACAGCAGTGCCAAAGCTGGCTTGATTTAACTGGGCTTGCTGCATTTGATGCTCTCGCGTCGCATGAAACTGGGCTGGAGCCTGACATATCCTTGGGCCAGCAAGCGACCACACGAGCCTGTGACATTCGCAGATAGTGACACCCTCAAGCCCAGCTGCACTCATGGGCCCCGTTGCCGGACACCTGGCACTTTGGGTCTGAAACATGGAGAAGTGAAATCGAGCCCTTGCCTTGGCAGAGTCCGTGGGATCTGGGCCTTGGCTTTTGACGACTTTGCAGTCTCCCTCGCGAATTAGGGCACTGGCCCTCGGGCCCCTCGAAGCACGCCTGCCAAGTGAGGGGGATTGATTCTACAGGTCTCTTTCCAGTGATTGCGATGATTGCAACGGCAAGCTTCATTCGGGGTCGATCAAAACCTCCCCATGGCACGTCCGAAAAAGAAAGACTGCCCACCGCCGCGTGCCATGATTGGACCCACACCTGGGAGATCTCTCTTCAGCCGGCCTCGTTTCGCCTGACAGGCTCAGCGCGAGGTCGTGAGCATGGGCATGGGCCGCGCCTGTCGGTCTTCTAAGGCATCTTGGCCTTGGCTCCAACTTCTGCACTCAAGTTCTAAATGCCCCTAAGGCGTGCACGTCATACCAGGCAAAGACCGACAGTTCGAAACTTCTGCACTTTGGCAACTTTGGCCTATCTCTGCTTCACCTTCGGCGTGTCTGCCGAGCGGCTCTCCAAAGGCAACGTTTTGGCTTGTTGCGCGCTGGTACTTGCCGCGCGCAACTCTTGGCGCGTTGTTGGGCTCTTTGGCAAAGCTTGAGGGCTCAGCCTCCAATTCCCCGTGCTCTCCAAAAGATCCGGGCACAACTGCCCAGGCTGGAGTCGTTGTGCTCTCTTTGCAACCCAGGCTTGGCCGTTCCAATCGATCGGTTGGCAAGTCATTGGTGCGAACTGACTCAAGCTGCGCTGACAGAAGACGGCCTTGCCCTGAAGCTAAATAAGATGTTGCCACTCTAACTGCATCAGGGGAAGGTGCCCTGTAGTGCGCCCGCATGGATGATTCGCCCTCAAACCGGCAGGCAGGCTTTCTTTCGCGGCTCGCGGTTCTTGAGGAGCTTGTGCCAGTGATCAGTTTCTGGAGCTCTTCCACTGGCGGCACCCGGTAGTCTTGATGTGTCGTTGATTGGCCTTCGAACTTGGTCTGATCCACGCACTTCCCCTCAATATGCCCATTCGCTGCAGCTGCCAATGGAAAAGACTCGGGTGGGGGCGCCTGGTAATGGGCCCTCATGGACGACTCCCCCTCAAAGCGCAATGGGACGGCTGGTGGGACGTTGCTGCTGTGACTTGTGCCATTTCCAGGTCGATACCTCAGTTCTGGCAGAGGTGCTTGGAAGTCGCGGCGTGCGGTTGATTCACCCTCAAACTTGCTGCTGGGTATTCGGTCTGGGGGCAGGCTTCTCTCTCTTTGACCGCTGGCTGTGGCAGCTCCTCTGACTGCATCAGGCGAAGGTGCCCTGTAGTGCGCCCGCATGGATGATTCGCCCTCAAACCGGCAGGCAGGCTTTCTTTCGCGGCTTGCGGTTCTTGAGGAGCTTGTGCCAGCGATCAGTTTCTGGAGCTCTTCCACTGGCGGCACCCAGTAGTCTTGATGTGTCGTTGATTGGCCTTCGAACTTGGTCTGATCCACGCACTTCCCCTCAATATGCCCATTCGCTGCAGCTGCCAATGGAAAAGACTCGGGTGGGGGCGCCTGGTAATGGGCCCTCATGGACGACTCCCCCTCAAAGCGCAGTGGGACGGCTGGTGGGGCGTTGCTGCTGTGACTTGTGCCGCCACCAGGTGGGTACCTCAGTTCTGGCAGAGGTGCTTGGAAGTCGCGGCGTGCGGTTGATTCACCCTCAAACTTGCTGCTGGGTATTCGGTCTGCGGGCAGGCTTCTCTCTCTTTGACCGCTGGCTGTGGCAGCTCCTCTGACTGCATCAGGGGAAGGTGCCCTGTAGTGCGCCCGCATGGATGATTCGCCCTCAAACCGGCAGGCAGGCTTTCTTTCGCGGCTCGCGGTTCTTGAGGAGCTTGTGCCAGCGATCAGTTTCTGGAGCTCTTCCACTGGCGGCACCCGGTAGTCTTGATGTGTCGTTGATTGGCCTTTGAACTTGGTCTGATCCACGCACTTCCCCTCAATATGCCCATTCGCTGCAGCTGCCAATGGAAAAGACTCGGGTGGGGGCGCCTGGTAATGGGCCCTCATGGGCGACTCCCCCTCAAAGCGCAATGGGACGGCTGGTGGGACGTTGCTGCTGTGACTTGTGCCATTTCCAGGTCGATACCTCAGTTCTGGCAGAGGTGCTTGGAAGTCGCGGCGTGCGGTTGATTCACCCTCAAACTTGCTGCTGGGTATTCGGTCTGGGGGCAGGCTTCTCTCTCTTTGACCGCTGGCTGTGGCAGCTCCTCTGACTGCATCAGGCGAAGGTGCCCTGTAGTGCGCCCGCATGGATGATTCGCCCTCAAACCGGCAGGCAGGCTTTCTTTCGTGGCTTGCGGTTCTTGAGGAGCTTGTGCCAGCGATCAGTTTCTGGAGCTCTTCCACTGGCGGCACCCGGTAGTCTTGATGTGTCGTTGATTGGCCTTCGAACTTGATCTGATCCATGCGCTTCCCCTCAATATGCCCATTCGCTGCAGCTGCCAATGGAAAAGACTTGGGTGGGGGCGCCTGGTATTGGGCCCTCATGGACGACTCCCCCTCAAAACGAACCGGCGCAGCTTGCTGCGTGCTGCTTTTGTCCATGCTCTGCCCCAGTTGCCGCCAAAAATCGGTTGAAGGTGTTTGGTAGGCTTGGTGTGTGGTGGACTGTCCCTCGAAGGGCACGGGCTCGGCAGCATGCAAGTCAACTTGATGGTCCAGTTTGCCTGCGGCAGCTTGCAGAGGCTCCACCGGGTGGGCTGGGTAGTGTGCTTTCATGGATGACTCCCCCTCAAAGCGGATTGGAGGACTTGTGTCGTGGCTGGCTGGGGGTCTGGGCAACGGCGGCTGTTCCAAAGCTGGTGCTTGGAAGTCGCGATGCATGGTGGACTGACCCTCAAACTTTGCAAGTTGCAGCGGCGCGCTCTGAGCCATGGCCTTGTCTGTTACTAAGCTTGTGTCCGGCGATTGCAGCGCATCTGGTGGCGGGGGTTGGTATTGGGATCGCATGGAGGACTCCCCCTCAAAGCGCACTGGGGCAGCTTGCTCCGTGCTGCTTCTGTCCATTCTCTGCCCCAGCTGCCGCCAAAACTCGACTGAAGGTGTTTGGTAGGCTTGGTGTGTGGTGGACTGTCCCTCGAAGGGCACGGGCTCGGCAGCATGCAAGTCAACTTGATGGTCCAGTTTGCCTGCGGCAACTTGCAGAGGCTCCACCGGGTGGGCTGGGTAGTGTGCTTTCATGGATGACTCCCCTTCAAAGCGGATTGGAGGACTTGTGTCGTAGCTGGCTGCGGGTCTGGGCAACGGCGGCTGTTCCAAAGCTGGTGCTTGGAAGTCGCGATGCATGGTGGACTGACCCTCAAACTTTGCAAGTTGCAGCGCCGTGCTCTCAGCCATGGCGGTGTCTGTTACTAAGCTTGTGGGCAGCGATTGCAGCTCATCTGGTGGCGGGGGTTGGTAGTGGGATCGCATGGAGGACTCCCCCTCAAAACGAACCGGGGCAGCTTGCTGCGTGCTGCTTCTGTCCATGTTCTGCCCCAGTTGCCGCCAAAACTCTGCTGAAGGTGCTTGGTAAGCATTGTGTGTGGTGGACTGTCCCTCAAAGGGCACGGGCTCTGCAGCATGCAAGTCAACTTGATGGTCCAGTTTGCCTGCGGCAACTTGCAGAGGCTCCACCGGGTGGGCTGGGTAGTGTGCTTTCATGGATGACTCCCCCTCAAAGCGGATTGCAGAACTTGTGTCGTGGCTGGCTGCGGGTCTGGGCAACGGCGGCTGTTCCAAAGCTGGTGCTTGGAAGTCGCGATGCATGGTGGACTGACCCTCAAACTTTGCAAGCTGCAGCGCCGTGCTCTCAGCCATGGCCTTGTCTTGTACTAAGCTTGTGGCTGGTGATTGCAGCGCATCTGGTGGCGGGGGTTGGTAGTGGGATCGCATGGAGGACTCCCCCTCAAAGCGCACCTGGGCAGCTTGCTGCGTGCTGCTTTTGTCCATGCTCTGCCCCAGTTGCCGCCAAAAATCGGTTGAAGGTGATTGGTAGGCTTGGTGTGTGGTGGACTGTCCCTCGAAGGGCACGGGCTCGGCAGCATGCAAGTCAACTTGATGGTCCAGTTTGCCTGCGGCAACTTGCAGAGGCTCCACCGGGTGGGCTGGGTAGTGTGCTTTCATGGATGACTCCCCCTCAAAGCGGATTGGAGGACTTGTGTCGTAGCTGGCTGCGGGTCTGGGCAGCGGCGGCTGTTCCAAAGCTGGTGCTTGGAAGTCGCGATGCATGGTGGACTCACCCTCAAACTTTGCAAGCTGCAGCGGCGTGCTCTCAGCCATGGCCTTGTCTCTAATCAAGCGTGTGGCTGGTGACTGCAGCGCATCTGGTGGCGGGGGTTGGTAGTGGGATCGCATGGAGGACTCCCCCTCAAAGCGCACCTGGGCAGCTTGCTGCGTGCTGCTTCTGTCCATGCTCTGCCCCAGCTGCCGCCAAAACTCGGCTGAAAGTGCTTGGTAAGCTTGGTGTGTGGTGGACTGTCCCTCGAAGGGCACGGGCTCGGCAGCATGCAAGTCAACTTGATGGTCCAGTTTGCCTGCGGCAACTTGCAGAGGCTCCACCGGGTGGGCTGGGTAGTGTGCTTTCATGGATGACTCCCCCTCAAAGCGGATTGCAGAACTTGTGTCGTAGCTGGCTGCGGGTCTGGGCAACGGCGGCTGTTCCAAAGATGGTGCTTGGAAGTCGCAATGCATAGTGGACTGACCCTCAAACTTTGCAAGCTGCAGCGCCGTGCTCTCAGCCATGGCCTTGTCTTGTACTAAGCTTGTGGCTGGTGATTGCAGCGCATCTGGTGGCGGAGGTTGGTAGTGGGCCCGCATGGAGGACTCCCCCTGAAAACGAACCGGGGCAGCTTGCTGCGTGCTGCTTCTGTCCATGTTCTGCCCCAGTTGCCGCCAAAACTCTGCTGAAGGTGCTTGGTAAGCATTGTGTGTGGTGGACTGTCCCTCAAAGGGCACGGGCTCTGCAGCATGCAAGTCAACTTGATGGTCCAGTTTGCCTGCGGCAACTTGCAGAGGCTCCACCGGGTGGGCTGGGTAGTGTGCTTTCATGGATGACTCCCCCTCAAAGCGGATTGGAGGACTTGTGTCGTGGCTGGCTGGGGGTCTGGGCAACGGTGGCTGTTCCAAAGCTGGTGCTTGGAAGTCGCGATGCATGGTGGACTGACCCTCAAACTTTGCAAGCTGCCGCGGCGTACTCTCAGCCATGGCCTTGTCTTTTACCAAGCTTGTGGCCGGTGATTGCAGCGCATCTGGTGGCGGGGGCTGGTAGTGGGCCCGCATGGAGGACTCCCCCTCAAAGCGCACTGGGACAGCTTGCTGCGTGCTGCTTCTGTCCATGCTCTGCCCCAATTGCCGCCAGAAATCTGCTGAAGGTGCTTGGTAAGCTTGGTGTGTGGTAGACTGTCCCTCAAAGGGCACAGGCTCGGCAGCATGCAAGTCAACTCGATGGTCGAGTTTGCCTGCGGCAACTTGCAGAGGCTCCACCGGGTGGGCTGGGTAGTGTGCTTTCATGGATGACTCCCCCTCAAAGCGGATTGGAGGACTTGTGTCGTGGCTGGCTGGGGGTCTGGGCAACGGTGGCTGTTCCAAAGCTGGTGCTTGGAAGTCGCGATGCATGGTGGACTGACCCTCAAACTTTGCAAGCTGCAGCGCCGTGCTCTCAGCCATGGCCTTGTCTTTTACCAAGCTTGTGGCCGGTGATTGCAGCGCATCTGGTGGCGGGGGTTGGTAGTGGGCCCGCATGGAGGACTCCCCCTCAAAACGAACCGGGGCAGCTTGCTGCGTGCTGCTTCTGTCCATGTTCTGCCCCAGCTGCCGCCAAAACTCGGCTGAAGGTGATTGGTAGGCTTGGTGTGTGGTGGACTGTCCTTCAAAGGGCACGGGCTCGGCAGCATGCAAGTCAACTTGATGGTCCAGTTTGCCTGCGGCAACTTGCAGAGGCTCCACCGGGTGGGCTGGGTAGTGTGCTTTCATGGATGACTCCCCCTCAAAGCGGATTGGAGGACTTGTGTCGTGGCTGGCTGGGGGTCTGGGCAACGGTGGCTGTTCCAAAGCTGGTGCTTGGAAGTCGCGATGCATGGTGGACTGACCCTCAAACTTTGCAAGCTGCAGCGCCGTGCTCTCAGCCATGGCCTTGTCTTTTACCAAGCTTGTGGCCGGTGATTGCAGCGCATCTGGTGGCGGGGGTTGGTAGTGGGCCCGCATGGAGGACTCCCCCTCAAAACGAACCGGGGCAGCTTGCTGCGTGCTGCTTCTGTCCATGTTCTGCCCCAGCTGCCGCCAAAACTCGGCTGAAGGTGATTGGTAGGCTTGGTGTGTGGTGGACTGTCCTTCAAAGGGCACGGGCTCGGCAGCATGCAAGTCAACTTGATGGTCCAGTTTGCCTGCGGCAACTTGCAGAGGCTCCACCAGGTGGGCTGGGTAGTGTGCTTTCATGGATGACTCCCCCTCAAAGGGGACCCCATCAGTGATCGCACTGTTTCCAGTGCTAGTCCCTGCTGCTTGCAGCCATTCCTGAAGGCTCTGCAAAGGTGGCGCCTGAAAGTCACGATGTGTTGTGGATTCCCCTTCAAAATGGACATGATCTTCAGCTGAATGTTGCCAGGCCTTTTGTCGCTTCTCTTCAGGCATTCCTTTGTGGAGCGCATCCAATGGGGGCGGTTGATAATGAAGCTTCATGGAAGACTCCCCATCAAATCGTACCTTGCTCACATCATTGCTTGGAGATTCAACTCCTGCAAGCCACTGCCTCAAACTTTGCAAAGGAGGCCGGTAATCATCCAGGCAAGGTGGCTGGTAGTCGTGGTGGGACGTGGATTCCTTCACAATGTCAGGCCAAGAGCGCAAGGCCTCTTGCACATCTGGGGTGGGTCCCTGTGGCTCACGGGATGGCTCACGGGATGGCTGATGAAAAGCAGTGAGCGGAGGAGCTTGATAGTCTGCTCGCATGCAAGATTCGCCCTCAAATCTGAAGTTTGCTTTGGGTGCTGGCACGGTCTCGTGTGATTTCAGCATCTGTCGCAAAGCTTCCAAAGGTGGTGCTGGATAGTCTCGATGCAGGCTGGACTCGCCCTCAAATTTGGCAGCAGGCCAAGTGGGGCCTGCTGGTGCTTGGAAATTCACCGCATCCTTCATTGCATCAGCTGGAGGGGCTTGGTAATCTGCATGGGTCGTGGAGGTACCTTGAAATCGAGCCTGTGGCATTGCCTGAGGCATTTCTGGCACCTGCGTTGCTTGTTTCAAGGTCTCATGCGGTGGCGCCTGGTAGTCATGATGCGTGGTCGACCGCCCAAGCAAGTGGACATCTGGCTGGAGCAGCGACTGCACGGCTGGCGGCTTCTCGGCTTCAGGAGGGTCTCTCCGAAGGGCAAGTGCAGGGGGTGCCTGGTAGTCGCCATGCATCACAGATTCACCCTGGAACCGAACAGCGGGATGACTGAGCTGTGGCGCACTTCCAATTGTCTGAGCGATCCGTAGGTCGTCCAGGCAAGGAGGCTGGTAGTCGTGGTGGGACGTGGATTCCTTCACAATGTCAGGCCAAGAGCGCAAGGCCTCTTGCACATCTGGGGTGGGTTGCTGTGGCTCACGGGATGGCTCACGGGATGGCTGATGAAAAGCAGTGAGCGGAGGAGCTTGATAGTCTGCTCGCATGCAAGATTCGCCCTCAAATCTGAAGTTTGCTTTGGGTGCTGGCACGGTCTCGTGTGATTTCAGCATCTGTCGCAAAGCTTCCAAAGGTGGTGCTGGATAGTCTCGATGCAGGCTGGACTCGCCCTCAAATTTGGCAGCAGGCCAAGTGGGGCCTGCTGGTGCTTGGAAATTCACCGCATCAATCATTGCATCAGCTGGAGGGGCTTGGTAATCTGCATGGGTCGTGGAGGTACCTTGAAATCGAGCCTGTGGCATTGCCTGAGGCATTTCTGGCACCTGCGTTGCTTGTTTCAAGGTCTCATGCGGTGGCGCCTGGTAGTCATGATGCGTAGTCGACCGCCCAAGCAAGTGGACATCTGGCTGGAGCAGCGACTGCACGGCTAGCGGCTTCTCGGCTTCAGGAGGGTCTCTCCGAAGGGCAAGTGCAGGGGGTGCCTGGTAGTCGCCATGCATCACAGATTCACCCTGGAACCGAACAGCGGGATGACTGAGCTGTGGCGCACTTCCAATTGTCTGAGCGATCCGTAGGTCGTCCAGGCAAGGAGGCTGGTAGTCGTGGTGGGACGTGGATTCCTTCACAATGTCAGGCCAAGAGCGCAAGGCCTCTTGCACATCTGGGGTGGGTCCCTGTGGCTCACGGGATGGCTCACGGGATGGCTGATGAAAAGCAGTGAGCGGAGGAGCTTGATAGTCTGCTCGCATGCAAGATTCGCCCTCAAATCTGAAGTTTGCTTTGGGTGCTGGCACGGTCTCGTGTGATTTCAGCATCTGTCGCAAAGCTTCCAAAGGTGGTGCTGGATAGTCTCGATGCAGGCTGGACTCGCCCTCAAATTTGGCAGCAGGCCAAGTGGGGCCTGCTGGTGCTTGGAAATTCACCGCATCCTTCATTGCATCAGCTGGGGGGGCTTGGTAATCTGCATGGGTCGTGGAAATACCTTGAAAAGGTATTTGCGAAGGCTCTTTCGACGGCGCTTGCGCTTCCACCTCACAGCGGAACGCGTGCAAGTGTATAAATGCAAGCTGGCTGCTTGTCGCAGCTGGAATTAACAATGCCTCTCCGACAATGTGTCCTCAAAAAACGCACGACACATCAAACCAAGGCAACATGAGGCAACTGCTGGCATTCACTTTGCGCGTGTGTGTGCGCGCGTCTGTGTATCTGTACGTCTGTGTGTCCTTGTCTATGTCTCGCTCTCTCGCCCTCTCCCTCTCTCTCTCTCTGCGTGTGGGTCAATCAATTTTGTGTGTGTGGGTGCGTGGCTGCGTTTGTGTGTGTGTGTGTGGGTGTGTGTGTGTGTGTGGATAGGTGCGGGCGGGTGTGGGTGTGGGTGTTGGTGTGGGTGGTGGCGTGTAGGTGCGCGATGCGCGATGCGCGCGCGCGAGATGCGTGCGCGCGCACGGGCGCGCGGGCGTGCCTGAGCGCGTGCCTGCGTGCCTGCGTGCGTGCGTGGGTGTGTGGCTGTGGGTGGGTGTGGGTGCGTGGGTGTGGGTAAGGGGGTGGGCTGTGTCTATGTGTGTGTGTCTCTGTGTTTCCTCCTTCTAAGGCAACACGGCAACGCAGCGAACTTTCAGCACCTTTGGGTAAACGTGTCCCTTTTCGGTTTCTGGGCAGCCAAATCCCTAGTGATCATGGCCTCAGGAACCTTACTACTGACCAGAAGATTATAGACACTCATGAGTCTTTGCTTCTGTCAACGCGTAGGCCGCAAGGTCCGCGACACACCCGTGCCCGGGACACACCCGTGCCTGCCGGGAAAAGAATATTACCAACTTGTCGGACACTATCCCCTTTCTCCGCACTTGGGCAGCGCCATTGCTTGGCGTCCTCGGCGCCCTCGTATTGACTGCCTTTGCGCTTTCCTGAGCCAACTTCCTTATTCAACAACTGTGGACAACGCCCCAACGCAGACCCTAGTTCGCGCAGCTCGCTTCTCAAGATCTTCCTGGGTTCTTCACATCCACCCCAACGGGCTGATTCAAGCAAGCGCTACAAGTTCTGCTTCGTCGATATGATGCACACTAGGTCTTCGGAAAGTACTCCAGCGTTCAGTGTTGGAGGTATCAACTTACTAATGGGCTGTGTCATCCACAACAATCACTTTGATACCAACGGGTGTTTTCGACAAGTTCGAGGAGTAGCTAGCAGCGCCTTTCTTATGCAACTTGGTCAACACTGTTGAGGAATTCTTTTTGGATCAGACGACGCATCGCTCATATTGAGCCCCTCGTTTTTTTTTTGCATCCTTTGGAATGAACGCTACGCCGGCAGCCGGTTCATTCTTTTCAAGTATTCTGCTCCTCGGCCCGCGGTTCTCGACAACTTTCTTTCCTCGGAGTTTTATCGTGCTCCAGTTCTTCTTGAAACTCAGACTGGCAACAAAGTCCTCGGCTACTACTGTGACTCTGCGGCATGCACCATCATCCCGTAATACTACCTCATCATCCCCTGCAGAGAGCATTCGAAGCGCCAACAATGTGTGGCTTTCTTGCTCTTCATGGTCGTGCAGGAGCCAACCATATGGGAGCAAAACCGTCCTCGAAGCCATTTCAGGATTGCAGAGGCTGCGTGACGCCAAGGGTTTGTATTCGAAACCTCTCGCTGACGTTCAACCGGGAAAGTGGGCTGTTGCACTTTCGTCACTTCGTGAGCCCGCGCTGATCTGGTGCGTGCTCTTGACTCGCATATTCGTACGTCTCTCGACGGTTTTATGCGTGACCTTCCTGTTGAAGCGTTCTGACGCGTTGGGTCGAGTTTTGCGCGTGGACTCGCGATGACTTCAATCGTCAGGCGCGCATTCAGCACGCTCTTCCTCCACCTACGGAGCGATCTTCTGCGCTCAGATCATCGACAGCGCCCTTGCATCATCATCATCATCATCATCATCATCATCATCATCAGCTGGCGGTCGTTGAGCACATCTGGCCGCGCCTCACTCATGCCAAGGTGCCCTTGCCGTTTTCCAAGTTGTGTTGAAGGACAACGTTAACGGCACAATGGGGGGCAATCCCCCGTCCTGGCCTGGCGCTGAACGCAGGCTTTCTGCATGAGGATTTTACTGCAGGGGCAGCTTGGGCAGCCACACGGCTGCCCTTTCTCTGCTGCCAGATATGGGCTTTCGTGCTATGCGTCAGGCTCACAGGAAGCTTCCTCGCGCAGCCTTGTGTGCTGACACGCGTGTCAATGACTTGGCGGACAAAGATGGCCGCTGGCAAATGCGCTCCGTGATAGCCATCGCCATCGATGGGTTAGTATCCTACTTTGCCACTTTCAGCCTCTTTCCACTGTCAATGGGAAGGATTGGGGGGGAGAGACTGCGGAGAGTTGGAGGCGCGAGGTGCGTCGGAGTTGGTCACTTCTCGCGCGAAACCATGACGCTTCTCAGCATATTCCCTCAATGCCACACGGGCGCTTTGCGTTTTCTGGGCTCTGATCGCGTGATCAGAACAACTTCCGCGTTCAGAACGCCTCGCACAAACGTCATTCGACGACCGTGCGTGAGTATGGCGTGCGAGTAGCTGTCCACACCGCATCTGTGTGCGTGACGTGTAGAGCATCGCCTCTGTCTTCTTGCAGGGCACGCCACCTTGGAAAGTCACGACGGGAAGGCTTCCACTTCCTCCGCGAGAATTGCAGCGGCTGCCTATTGCGGCAGCAGGTGCAGGGGGGCCTGAGCCCGCCCGCCATAGCCAGCTCGTCTGCGCTAACCTAGCACAGCCTCTTGCGGTATATCCTGCAAGCCGCAAAAGCGCTTGAAAAGCCCGAGCCTCAAGGAAAAGCCTCACTTCGATGGCCAAGCAGAGGGACTATGCGTGCTGTTCCCTGGCTTTCTTTTCAGGCCACATTGAGAAAACATGGGGCAAAACTCAATCAGAAGCGCTTATGGCACATTGTGGAGCGAGTCAGCCATAGCCATGACATGCATGGATTCTATATATAAATGCATGCATGTATACACACAATGAACAGACTATTATATAAAATGATATACATCAGTCTTATTATTAAATTTTAGCTTATGTAAATAACACAAGTAATAGTAAAAACACGTTTTTGTGTGCTGTCTGTGTCATGGGGCGCGCGCGCTGAACAAGGCCATCCAGTAAGCAATCATGACCGGAACCACTTGACATATCACACGCGAACCCATCAGAATGAGCCATGCTACGACAGATCTTACCGAAAAATGGCACTCTCGCCCCTGAGTCAAGCCTTCGACTGCCTGATGCCACCTGCTCACATATGTCTGGCTGCAGGCAAGGCGCTCGAGGCTTCAAGTCAATCAGCGATGGTGGTGGATAGGCGTCGTGTGTGCAGGACTTCTCTTCCATGCGGACCTCAAAGCACACCATTTCGCTTGGCATGAACCTGCAAAGCGCAACAGCACAAGCCTCAGGGGCTGGCCTGCTGTCCTGAAGCGCAGCGGTCCTCAAGCAGCGCGCTACGGAAAAGCGGAAACTGGATTTCAGAATGACCCAAACTGAAACAGCGTGGCCTCCCAGTACTGCGACCTTCTGCATCTCCCCGGCGTCTTGAGCGGGAAAATCATCGGCAAGGGCGGTGGCTTGTAATCTGCGTGCGTCTGGGACTCGCCTCGCGTGTGAAAACGGTTCCTGTTGGCGCCACGTTCCCCCAAATGAGCTCCGCGCTCGTGGCCAAGGCATTTCCCCACAACTGGTGGTCCTAACTACGGCTAATCTCTCATCAAGCAGCGGGCGCACGAATTCCGCAGTCCTCTGCCTTTGGCACATGGACAGGGATAGCCTCAAGTGGTGGCGGCTGATAATCTTGATGTACTGACGAACTTCCTGCAAGCAGGTGGTTGCAACAGTCAAGGTGCAACGTGCTTGCTGGCAGATGCATCTGGCCTTCAAAATTCACATACCTTACGTGCGGATGTGGTTTCTGCATGCTGCCCTGAGTCTTGTACGCATGCCTGTGCTCGTCAAATTGCGAACCGCCTTTGGCTTGCCGAGCCGCGGCCGGTCGAAGCATGCCACACTGGCCAGCTCGCGGTTCCACGCCGGACCTTCCTTGGATGTGCCTGTTTGGTCCACCCTGGCCTTCTCTTGGCGCAAGTCGGGGGGGACCGGAATGGCCTAGGGGGACAAACACGTCTGCCCCCGCTTCGATCTTCCAACGTTAGCCGCGGGCCGGGTGAATGGACTGTCTTCGCTCCTGTTGTGTGTAGCTTGCGGACAGTCCAAACCAAATGACACATGCAAGCATGACCCACAACAAGCGTTTGGCCTCAACCCTGGCATCACTAGCATCGCTGCTTGGCCTCCATGCAAGACATTGTGTTGGGCCATGCAATCTGCAGCGCTGCTCGCCCAAAGTGCCCTCAATGTGTCAGCCCTTCGGCAGTCCTTTGCAGGGCGCTGACTGCAGATGGGGCAAAGTCGTGACGGTACATATCCTGAGACCGACTGGCCCACGAAGAGACCGCTGCGCAACACGACAAGAACGAACTGATGCAGGCACGCAGCTTACGTCTCCATTCTCCAGTTGCCGCTTGCTATCACTACCACCTACTCAGCTGATGCTGCCAACATTGCGTCAGAGAGGCGGCATGGCCCAGCATCCCGCAATCCCCCAAACCATTCGCTCAATCGAAAGCAACACAAGGCCGATGCAATTGTCAGAGCCCGCGATCGATCTTGGCTGTGGCGGCAAGTGGAAACAAGCTCAGGAACATCAGCACAGCAAAATGCCCGGTCTTTTTCTACACGAAACTTCGCTCACCAAACTGGAACCCCGGCAAGGCAGCTGGCGACAAGGACGCTCAAAGCCATGAGAAGGACTGTGAAGGTATTGAGAACAATGTACACTATGGCCACTGCTCGCTTCTTTCCAATCCCATACTTGTTCATCACCCACTTGAAGCAGCGATTGACACGGGGAGTCGCAAACGCAACTGCTACCAGCTTAATGGGCCGCAGCAAGTTATTCACAACGTAAAGTGCAGCATACGTAGAAAGGAAAGCAGGCCACTCATGCACAGGTGAGACTCCGCTTCTTGTTGACACCACGTACCATGCAAATGCAAAGAGCGGAATGTAGTTCATATTGGAAACAACACCGTAGCTCAAAACTCCAGCTGCACCCATCGAGGCAAAACGTTGACGGCTGTCTGCATCTGTTATCCAGGTTCGAAATCGTCTCCATGGTCCTTTGCTAATATCGCCCTCCTTTCCTTCCTGAGCTTCCTGAGCCGCCTGAGTCCTCATTGCCAAGTAGGGCTTGGCAACGGGCTTGACGCCAGTGAAGGCATAGCCGCCGCCTGCTGCTCCAAGCCATCCAAGCAGGCACAAAGCGCCAAGACCCCATACGCAGCAGTATCTGGCTGTAAGCTTCTGCCGCACGCGCATGGCTCTCAACACCTGGATCTTGTTTTAGAACCCCCTTGGCACCATGCAAGGGGCTCAGGGGGCCAAACTCGTTTGGAGGCTGGCGTTGGGCTTGGTGGTTCACCGAAGGATGCGGTGACCCATTGAAAAATGTCTGAAAAATCATCATGTATACAATGTTGCTTCTGTGTGGCCTCACACGCTCGTTCTGGGCATCCTTGCAACATGCATCTCATGAAGGAACCCTGTCAAGCGTCCATATATTAGCCTGACTGTCATGGTTGCTCTTGCGTGTTGAGCTCATTTCAATTTAGAAGCTGGAGAGCTCACGTCAAAGCATGGTTAATATTTGCTGCGGGATTGCTGAATTGCGCTTCAAACGCAACGAAATAGGAAAAGTGATGCTTGATGTGCATCAAGTGACGTACTCCTTGAAGCCACCACAAGCCTTTTTCACTTGTCCTTCTTCGGCTCGGGTTCTGCAATGGCTCCCGCCGATTCTCTCCTACCGTCAGCCTTCACATCCTCTTTGGAAAGCTTCTTGCTACTCAGGCTGCCGGAGCCTTTTTTCGAGCCTTTCGCCTGCCATCTCACATTCACACAAGGCACTAGGGCGCATGCAAACACCCCAACGCTCTGTCCAAAGTTGATCGGCGCCTCGGGAAAGCCTTCGGCAAAACAATGCAGCACAAAAGCTGCAAGAACTGCATTTACCAGAATAACCTTAGTCTCACAAGGCTCACTCCTGGTTGCAAGCGGTCTGAGAAGCTCACCGCAACCACCGCGCTATACATCCACCTGCTGTTGGACTCTAGGCCAAAAGAGCGCAGGCTGTACCTGGAGATTGGAATAATTTCACTCGCTCACAAGCAGAGAAGGCAAGCGAGGTCACTCGGTTGCAAACAGTCCAGCAACCTCGGGGGTGCAACTTGGAATGCACTCAGTACAAACATCTGTGGGACAGCATCATCACGTCTGTCACTACGTGCTGTGCGCAGCACGCAGCAAGCAAAAGGGAACTGAGCAATTGGCCGGAATGATTGCAAGCGCTGCAGAAAAGGCCGCAAACTGTGTGGCCACGTCGCGGTTGCCCTTTGCTGTGAGCCAAAGGGAAGCCAACAGGTTTTCCAAACACGCCGACAGACCGCAACATGTTGTAGGCTGTAGGTAGCAATGTCCACAAATAAACAAACAAACACACACACACACACAGCCACACGCTCACACTCACGCTGCTCATGCAAATTGCACGTGGCCAAGCAGAGCAAGCGTCCTGGTCACCCAAAGCCTGCAGCAGCGTGGTTGGCCTCCAGTCTTGGAAGATCTCTCGTGAAACTAGATCTGCCCCTTGCCTTCCCTCACTCCGCTCTTCTTTCTCGGGTTTCTCATCTTGCGACTTGGCCTGGCAAGCTGGCAGTGGTGGCCAACACCAAGGCCACCGAGAGCATGGGACAGGCCTCGGCTTCTGGAGCCGTTTCGCCTGTAACCTTTACAGGCTCCTGCACATGCGCAGATATGCATGAGGCGACTGCGTGAAACACATGCAACATCCTGTCCTCTTCTTTTTCCTGCTGCTCTTCCTCACCACTTCCAGCTTTTGACTCCATACTGTGAGCCACTGCGATGCAGGGAAGAAGAACCAACAAACACAGTTTTGAATTGAAAACGTTGGCCAGCTAACAAAATAAGGGGCAACAAGTGCTTGTGAAACACGTCATGACTCAACAACCCGATGCCATGCTGTCGAACATCAACATTTCTTGAGCCAGAACTGCAGCTGCGCAGCTTGCACTCTGGTCGTGGCACAATGTCCATGCATTGTTTGTCTGCTGGCGACGGCGGTTGCAACCAGGTGTTGTTGCACAATGCTGTGCTACTTCTTGCATCAGGTCACACGCCAGAAGGAAGTTTCCTGACATTCTGGCTTCAGCTGCGTGATTCCAGTCTAAATATTAAGCACACCACGAAGACTGGACGTTCTATACATAAACGAAAATACGACACAGGCACGCAATCATGGCCGCAAACAAGTGGATGTGTGGCTACCGCATGCTACCGACACGTCAACAGTCGCCAACAGAAACACGCAAAACCAGCGGAAAACCGTTGACATGTGCTGTGAATGTTTCTTCCTCTGCATCATGCCGCCTGCGTCATTTGAATACTGCCTGCATCATCGCCTCCTTACGGCTTTCACATTTGTAACGCTGAAAGCCACCAACAGCGCGGCTCCATGTCGGGGCTATTCGTCATCCAAATGCGAATCGCCAATTGCAATGAAACTCAGGCGACAACCAGCGACATGCCAATTGAAATCACCAACAGCTAGCTCACTTCTGCATGACCCAACGACCTGTCCATGCCACAACATTGACAACGGGCGAAAACGAAGACACACGACACACACGCACACACGCGCACACACGCGCATACACCGCCACATTTCTACAAGAGGCCGTGTTAAGTTACATTAACGCGCGTGAAGTCGCATCACTGCATGGCCATGCGCACATGCACGAGATTCACATCAGCGCGCGTAAGGTCATTCATCAATATTTTTGTGGCAATCACACTGGCCAAACGCTTCCACAGTGTACGCAACGCTCTGCCGCAAAACATCCGCAAAACTAGTTGTTTGCGTGCGTTTCCCAACGGCCACGCCAGCTTTCTGATCATCAAGTCTTGAGTTCGAATGCGGGAATGCAAATCACATTGGCCACGCGCCTCCGCAGTCTACACCACGTTTTGACGCACAACTAGCTTTTGGTTGCCCGAATTTAAGTAAAAGCACCAGGCCGCTAGTTTATTGCCATCAAGTTCTGAGTTCGAACACAAGCAACAGGAACGCAAATCGCATTGGCCACGCGCCTCCACAGTGTACGCCGCGTGTGCGTCACATTTTCCAGAAAGACAAGGCGTGTAGGTGACACAAAACAAAGAATTGACAACTCTTTGTTTGCTTCCCTGTTGGCCACGCAAGGCTTCCACCCTGCAATCGAGACTCGTTTTGGAAAAAGGAAGGGTGACAACTTTGCAAACTCTTCCGGAAGAATGCACTCAACCAAATACAGGCTTTTCATTTACTCACTGTTTAGTTCATGTCTAAATGCAAATATATAGTGACAAAAGTTGTGTTCCGAACGCTCGTCATACATACATACATGCCTACCTACCTACCTACATACATACATTCATGCATACAAAATATTCATATCATATTCTATCATATCATGTCGTATCGTAGTTCTGCACGCATGCAAAGATCATACCCGTGTTGTGCTTATTCAATTTATGCATGTATATATGCATAAAAAGGCACCTTATTCAATGATTATTGCCTACATTTCAGAAAATGGCTGTGGGAGTTCAAAAAACACCTTCTCGATATTCAAAATTCGCAGAGGAAATTCTTTGTTGAACGATGATTATTCCAAGGGAAAAACAGCGCCAAAGTGGAAGCCACGAAGTGCACAAAACATGCGCGGCAGCTCCAGCCAAACATCTGCAGCTATTTAGTTCACAATGCGCAAAAACTATTGGCTTGAAAATCGCACATCTTCAGTATAAGCGTAGCATCCTCCCAAATACATTTTGGCAGCTCCAGCTTAGGAATCGCAACTTTTCCATCCAAGTGCCGCACAATGTGCACGTTGGCAGCTCCAGCTGACAAATCGCAACTGTTCATCACAAGCAACAAGAGTAGAACAGCACGTAGATTTGTCGAAGCACGGAGTCCTTCTCCCATTCAATGCATGCCATGCATTTCAACCAAACGGGCAAGTGAAGATGCCACCCTTGGTATCGGTTGGGGTATTGCTTGGACAATGGTATGCCTTCAAAAACCCAAGTTGGCCTGTGCTTCCGGAACATCAATCTTCCTTTCATTCCAATAAGCCAAAACTATCTGCAATGTATCTGATTTTTGGGCGCCCCATCGGTTGTGCATGCTTCTGTGTACTGAAGGCACGGCTATGTCCAGTCTCCATATTATACTCTTGACATTGGAAAGCTTTGTCGGTACTAGTTTTCCTATATCCATGATATCTTCTTCATCCTCTCACTTTCCTCACCTCTTCGAAATCAATGTCACACCTGCCTAAAGAAAGGGAATGGCAACGCCACCATTGCTTGTCAAACTTATTATCATTTACTCATAGTTAATCATATTTAATCCAGGCTTTGTAAATAAGTGCTTCCCGTCTCCAGTGCCTGCGGCAAGCTGCGAGGTACTTTGAAGAATGGGTGTTAAAAAATCTGGCCTTCTGCTTCGATGATGGAGCTTCTTGTGCTGCATACCCTGCAAATGTGCCGGTGACGTCGGCAGCAAATTCCACAAGCTCAGTGCATGTCTGAGCGGAGTGCAGCGCTGCCGGCTCTTTTTCAACAGCTCTCGGGGGCTTCAACGATCTTTATTTCGTCATAGATATCCAGAACGTTGCAAGACACATCATCTCTGCCGTCAGCTGTCTCCTAGCGACAATGGTGTGATCTGACCAGGCCTGAATAGCTACTTCATGCCCGTCTCGCACAGGCCCTTCCCCAAGCTTCCTACTTTGCATGGCACTTATCACAAAACGGCCGCTGTACGTCCTGCGGGCATGAACCATTCCTAGCAAACAGAACGCCCCTTGATGTTGAGCATTGATGGCCAAGGCTCTAGGCCATGCTTGGTTGTGAACCGAAGCGTCGCGCACTGATACATCCAGGATGCAGGATCGCAGCCTCAGGCAAACAGCCCCTGACAAGCAGCTTGTGCCCTCTCCGTCCTTAAAGTGCAAAGCACGGTAAACACAGCATTGCACGCAGACCGTGGCAGTCACAGTGCCAGTCTGGCAGCATTTGGGCGAATCCTCCATGGGTGTCTTGGCAGAAGGCCTCGGTTGGACTCCATCCAGCTGCTCACTGGATCGAATTTTCGAGTCCCAAGTGGCTGGTAAAATTCGAAGCCTTCCTTCAAGCACCCCAGCGTCAGCTTCAGCGACTCCCCCAAGGGGCCAGCCTCCATGCCTTGGCTCAATCAGACCTAACAGACATCATCCCAAGGCTTTGGGTATTGTGTTGCTGCCACTGGTTCATTGCACGCACTCACTGAGTTCTGACACGCTCGTGGGACGCATTGCCCAGACACAGGAGATGTTGTAGTTTACATGCTGCTTCAAGCTGGCACCGCCAACCACGTAACCACCTCACAAACGGCTTGCAAACGTCCATCAGCCAGCGCCCACAGACCATTAGACATTTTGCTGCTTTGTCTGGCCTACTCTTGAGCAACGATCAAGATTGGCCAGCCCGCATTGCCTCAAGCCCGGACAAAGGCAAAGCTATCCATCCAATAGTACTTGAGACCCGGGCGACATCTGCGTGGTCACGCCTTGCATAAGATACTCGGTGCCCTGCTCCGAGAGTTGTCGGCGCTCGCAGAAATTCAGAAGGAACTCTTCCAGGGCAGTTACCTGTGGAGAAATCGATTGAAGAACTGGCGGCTTCAGGGTGTGGAAATTGTAAGCCAAAAAGCTCCCTGCTTGTTCAACATGCGAGTGGTCACAATGCCTACTGTCTGAGTTTAGCATAGTTTAGCTGAGTAAAAACATCAGGTGACCAAACGCTGACGAAGAGCCAATCCCGCCCGGAAGTCCAAGATGACCTGCTTCCTGTCCTTTTCAGCACAGCGCTTGGTGTGAGCTTTTGACAAAAGAAGAATCTGAAGAAGCCCGCCACCGCCCCCACCCCATTTTCACCCTAATTACGTGTCCACTCGGAAACGCCGACGTAGCACGAAGCGTGTGGGTTGGGGGCCTCATCGTCTGCCTTTGGCAGCACAAAGGCGGCGCCATCCACAGCCCATTCGGCCCGGTGCGCATCAGTGATGAGTTGAGAATTGACGGCGCCAGTGAGGATTCCTGCCATGGTGCCACAGCATTTGGGAAGTTTTGCCATTCCGTTTTGCTGGGCATCCCCTTTACCCGAAAGGGAGTTGCGCCATGATCTATCACCCTTGTGCTGGGTGCTGGACATCTGCAGCAGTTCCCCATGCGCAGTGAAGCCGGCCACGTGGGGTGTGTTGGGACCCCAACATAGATTTACCCTCCCACCGGTTAACATGGAACCTGACAGGGACCTGGTGCCTTTAAAAGGAAAATGCAGTGGAAGCAGAATCACGGGCGCATTGTTGGGCGAATCAAGCCGCAGGGATCTTGGGCCATGCCATCAGGCCTTCGAAACTGTCATCATGCATCCTCTGGTCTGGTGGCAAGCGGAAGTCCAACGTATCCTGTGAGACGAAGTGCTGGACGAGCACTGCAAAGCGAATCTGCTCCTTCGTTGGCTTTTTGCCACCACATCAGACAGCAAATCTGCCTACAGTTCAACACGGTTCATGGCTTGTGGGCGTTGCACACCATGCAGCCGTGCCAAATTTCAGCCAGGTCCTTTGACATCTGTCTGCCGCTCCGAAAGTCATCGTAGCTCTGAAGGAAGAGCCGTGACCTGGTGGTGTAGCCTGGTCAGAAAGACGTACGGGCTGCGTTGAGCATCAAAACAAGTTTCTGCCACTGAGCCATGGTCAAACTCATTTGCCTCCCCAAGAGGACATGGACAACTAGTGCGTAAGTTTTCGATGCCCCGCCCAAATGGACCATAGACTAGAAGTACCTTTCAACTGCCGTGGTGAGGCCAGGTAGCTCTCCACTTTGTCTTGATCAGCATGGGCTGACCAAAAGTTGGCCTTGTGGGGCGATGGCGTCTGACCAGCCAAATCCTTGGATCCAAGAAAATGATATTCAGCCGGTCGGTGGACGGTGCCAAGCGATGCCAAGAGGCATACTGCTCCTTTTCTTCTTCGCAGCGAGCCTGCAGCTCCTGCGGGTCACAAAGATCTAGTAGCCTAGGGGCCAGCTCACTAGAGCGTGCGTCTCTCTGAGGGGGTTCTTGTCAGGTTTTCAGGGAAACCACAAGGAAAGGCACCCATTCTTTGGGGCCCCCCTGTTTGCACACACACTCAACTGCCAGGACATTTTCAGAGAGCATAGCAGAACGGCCCATCATCCTCGAAAAGACTGCGAATGAAGGGCTCCACCGCATCGAGGCGCTCTGGAAGAGTCGGGCGATGGTGCGAGGTCCGCAGCCCCATGAGCCGGCATAGGGCACGAAGGCACAGGACACGAAGGTCCGATCTGCAAAGCTTTGCGCATGGCAAACCTTTCTGTGCATCGTGCGCTTCAGACATGATACGACAGGCTTCAGCTTCTGCGTTTGCGACATGAAGCATGAGCCAGCAGTAGCGCTCCAAATGAAAACTCGACAATCTGATGTGACAGCTAGACACGCAACATCCAGGGCAAGGAGGCTGCCATTTCTTCACATTGCAAGGCACAGAGAGTACAAGGATCATGGCATGAAGCCATGCTTGGCATGTGCTCCGCAATTCCGTTCCCTGAGTGGTTTCTCTGGGATGCAATGCTGAACAGTCCCTGAACAACCTGACAATATGTACACATGGCACTATGGTCCCACATTTTCAGGACCTGCCACTAGCTCTCAGCCCAAGAGCCGCATCAACATCTCCTCAGGAGCCGAAGTTCCAGCTTTCATCGCCTTCTTGCTTTTGCTCCTGCAGTTTTTGGTTCAGCATGATTCAACCGTTCAGAGCCAAAAGATACTTGGTCGCGCCTCCGGGAGTTCGTGCTGACCACTGCGGTGCCCTGGCGCCGCATCTGGAGGTTCCGCTTCAGGGGCTCCAGCTTCCGCAATGCACGCAGGAACGAAGCCTCCCAGGGCGGCTCCGGCCTCAGCAGCCAAAGCCACCTACAAGTTACAAGTTCTGAATATACGCGCTTTCTCTTGGCGTTTGCCTTTGCGGACCTATGCAAAACAATGTGGGCCTACGTGGGCTGCGCAAACGCATTCCTGGAGTGCATGCACACACACACACACAAAGACACACACACAGGACAGTTGCTTTGAGAAACCAAAGCCGCCCCCAGGGAAACACGGCAAGCACGTACACTACACATCACTGTGCCATGCAGAACTTTCTTCCGAGATTCTGATTCAACGTCATCCCTTCCCATGGGTTGGGGGGCTCGGCAATGCCCTGCGCTCGCAAACTCAAGCCCGATTGATGTGCATCTTGAAGAGCACGATGTCCCAGGAGTACTTGGCTGGCCAGCTCACGCTGCATGTCGATAATTTTGCTCTCCAACCTTGGCTTGCATATGCTGGAGCTCGACAAGCACCAATGACAGCCAAACCCTTCTGAGAGGCGCTTCCCCAAAAACTTTGGCCCGTCTGGTGAGTGGCTGCCAGCAATCCACAATGCCCTGGTCGCCGTTCGTCGTCTCCCTGAGCTCCACCTCCACATGCTGGCGCAGCTCCACAAAACGTGAGAAGAGCACATTGCTGGCTTGCTGAAGCCGCCCCAGCGCCACTTCGCCTCAAGACCCACTTCAACTACGACGCAAACTGAGCGCGCATTGCCCGCGTGTTACCTGCATGCGTGTCATGTGTATGTGTATGTGTATGTGTATGTGTATGTGTATGTGTATGTGTATGTGTATGTGTGTGTGTGTGTGTGTGTGTGTGTGTGTGTGTGTGTGTGTGTGTGTGTGTGTGTGTGTGTGTGTGTGTGTGTGTGTGTGTGTGTGTGTGTGTGTGTGTGTGTGTGTGTGTGTGTGTGTGTGTGTGTGTCTGTGTGCGCGCGCGCGTGCGTGCGTGTGTGCGTACGTGCGCGGGCAGGGTGGCTACGTGGCTGCGTGGCTGCGTGGGTGGGTGGGTGGGTGGGTGGGTGGGTGGGTGGGTGGGTGGGTGGGTGGGTGGGTGGGTGGGTGGGTGGGTGGGTGGGTGGGTGGGTGGGTGGGTGGGTGGGTGGGTGGGTGGGTGGGTGTGTGTGTGTGTGTCTCTGTCTGTCTGTTTGTCTGTCTGTCTGTGTCACTGTGTCTCTGTGTGTCTCTCTGTGTGTCTCTCTGTGTGTCTCTGTGTGTCTCTGTGTGTCTCTGTGTCTCTGCGTCTCTCTGTGTGTCTCTGTGTCTCCGTGCGTCTGTGTCTCCGTTTCTCTGTGTCTCTGTGTCTCTGTGTGTCTCTTGGTGTGTCTCTGTGTGTCTTTGTGTGTGTCTCTGTGTGTCTCCGTGTGTGTCTCTGTGTCTGTTTCTCTGTGTCCCTGCCGCAGGCACACAGACGCGCAGACACACAGAGAGCTAGACACATGGCTATGGCTCAAAAAAGTGGTACCAAAATGGCACCTTGGTAAATGGAACCAAAGCCTAAAACCTGCGTAACCCCTGGCTCTTTAATTTTGAGCCATACCCACATAGACACACAGACAAGCAGACACCCAAAGACACAGACACACACAGCCACGCAGACGCACAAAGAGACACACACACCCGGACACACGGACACACAGACACGCAAAGACACAGACCCACACAAAGACACAGAGACACACAGACACGCAGACACACAGAGAGACAGACACACAAACACACAGACATCCAAAGACACAGAGACACAGAGACACGAAGACACAAACACACGGAGACAGAGAGAGAGAGAGAGAGAGAGACGCAGAGACACACGAAGACACAGAGACACGGAGACACGGAAACACGGAGACACAGACACACGGCGACACACGGAGAGTCACACCGAGACACAGACACAGACACAAAGACGGAGACACCGAGAGACACAGAGACACGGAGACACGAAGACACAGAGACACGGAGACACAGACACGGAGACACAGACACGGAGAGACAGACACACGGAGACACAGAGACACGGACACACAGAGACACAGCCACACGGAGACACACAGAGACACCGAGACACAAAGACATGGAGACACACAGAGAGACAGAGACAAAGAGACAACGGAGACACACACACAGACACACAGAGAAACGAGACGCGGAGACACGGGGAGACAGACACACGGAGACACACAGAGACACACAGAGAGACACAGACAAAGAGACACGGAGACACAGACATACGGAGACACACAGAGACACACAGAGAAACAGAGACAAAGAGACACGGGGAGACAGACACGCGGAGACGCACAGAGACACACAGCGACACAGAGACACAGACACACACAGGGTCTCTGTGTGGCTCTCTGTGTCTCCGTGTGTCTGTGTCTCCGTGTCTCGGTGTCTCTCGCTTTGTCTCGCCGTGTGTCCGTTTCTCTGTGTCTCTGTGTCTCTTGGTGTGTGTCTCTGTGTGTGTGTCTCTGTGTCTTTGTGTGTGTGTGTGTCTCTGTGTGTCTCTGTGTGTCTCTGTGTCTCCGTGTCTGTGTCTCGGTGTGTCTCCGTGTCTCTGTCTCTGTGAGTCTTTGTGTGTAGACACTATCCAGGGCACATTCGAAGTTCCCCAACCCCGGTTTGACAATTCCTTTCTACTTCGGACATAAATCCAAGAAGCAAAGTGTACCGTTGATTGCTTAGGGGTCTTTGCCCCGGACATCGGGCCACGGGGGGGGGGTTGGCAGCGCAAAATATGTCAAAACGAATCTGCTAATCTAATCGATGCTGAGGTGCAAGATTTGCGATTTTCGCTCACCAAATGTGGCCATTTGTCAATATCGTCTGCCATTTGCAGCAAATCACTCCTTGTCTGAGTGACCTTTGCCTGTGACGAAATGCAGGTAAGAAGCTTGGTGTTCAGAACCAGCCCATCTTGACGCTTCGCACGGATATACGAAAGGACGAGCTGGGCCGCTTTTCTAAATCTTGCCAATGCTTCTGGGTTTGCAGCATCCTTCTGCTTGATCACTGTGGAGGCTGTGTCGAAAACGATCGTGCCGGAGGATCTTAGATCAGGAGTATTGCCACTTGCCGCGGCTTGCATGAGCCTTTTCACGTTCAGAGTCTTCCTCTTCTCCGCTGAACGTGAGTGTGACGGGCGCAAAGAGGGCTCGGACCTAAGGGGAGTTGAAACCCCCACAACGCTGTCGACTAGGTCATTTGCTTTGCACAGGATATATGCCAGGCGTGAGTCAGCGGACTCCAGCAATTCTCGCCGCCATGAGATCCAGTCCCAAATGTTGCTGGGGGGCTTTGCATCTGGGGGAGCCTCTGGAAAGGCCGTGCGTACATGTGCAGGCAGTGGTGTTTTTGCAAGGGACTCCTCAAACTCTTCGCCGTGCTCTTGCACCCTCTCCAGCAGCTCTTGTAACTGGCTCAAATTGCCCAAACAAGCTGCCTTCAGAACCTCGTCCACCAAGGACAGCATTCCCCATGAGTGGAGGCGGTTATTCAGCCATTCCTCCCATGATGTGTCTTGCTGCTCCCTCCGTGCCGCCTCCCAATCCTCGGGGATTTCTGCCCACAAGTCGTCCATATTCACATCGCTTGCTTCGGGCGAGGTCTGCCTAACTGGCGTGGGGCTCGTGAGGATCGAAGTCGCGCTTTCCGGGGGTCTGGCCCGCAACAGCCGGCGCTGCGCGTGGCCATACGACATCTTGGGCTTCTCTGCAGACCGGGGCCGCAGGCACGGGATGTCAAGGAACGGCCATCGCATGTCCTGCTCCAGCACCAGGGGGGCACGCTTGCGAGGCTTTGCAATGGCCCCGGGTGCCTTTGAGACAGAAGCATCGCCAGCGCCTTCGGATTCCTTTGTCATCAGCAAGCATTGGAATTCTCGGAGGACCCTGCGCTGGTGCAGCGGGTGCGCGATGCCCATCCTGACCAACGCGTCCTTTGTCAAGGGCGGGGCAATGCTCCCAGCTGGGCTGCCGTCCTGCGGAAAATGAAAGAAGAAGGCGGCCTGCACAATTTTCCTAGAACCTAACGCGAAGCAAGGAAGGCTCAGCCAAGCAAAACAGAACGATGGCCGCCCACAGACATGAAATTCGTAGCCGCGCAAAAAACCAG